GCAAAATGTGGTTGTTAGGATTGCAAATGTGTTTGTAAGTAGTTTCGTCTTTTATAGTTGGTGGCAGAGTTTCTTCCAGGCATCTCTTCGGGGGGGCGAAGCCCCCCCCAAAATTTTTTTACCGCCCCCCCCCCCCCCCCCCCCCCCCCCCCCCCCCCGAACGAAATGAAATTTATATAATTTATATACAAAATATATACTTTTAACAGTGTCCGCCCCCCCCCCCCCGAAGAAAGTCTACCGCCCCCCCCCCGAAAATTGCAAGTGTGCCCCCCCCCCCCCGGAGAAAAAATTCTGGAAGAAACACTGGTTGGTGGGAGGAGGGGGGTACTTAATATGTCGATTTATCTTTTTGCAAAAATTGTTACCATGTTGTAAGCTCATGCGAGAGCTGTTAAACAAGGGATGCGACGTAAATGAAGATAAAGGACAAGAATACATTAGATTTGCTAAGACGGAAGCGTTGAATCACGCATCGCGCTAGAACTAAATAAATGTTTTGCGTGTCATGAATTTTTATTTCTTATTAAAAAAAACGCCAACGTTCCGAACAGAAATAAAATGTGAAAATGTTAGCTTCTCTAGCACCCCCCCCCCCCTCCTCCGCCTTTTTTCTACCTACCCCACTTTTGGCTGTTCAGGTACTTTTCTCTCTGGAAGCCGAGAAAGCCATCTGGTAAATTGCAATTTTGCTTGTTGTGTTGAGGGTGTAATTTGTCTCTGACTTGACGACCTAATAAATTATCTGGCAGTACTCGCTGGCTTAAAAATTCAGAAATCCTTCAACAAAATAAGGAAACAAAAAAAACTATTTAAAAAAACCAATTAATATTAATCATATTTCTAATTATTTAGATGGAGTTTTTCATGTTATTATTATTCTGGCGTATAAATAAGAATACACTGATAAGATAGAAGTCTATTTAAAGTGTTTTAAGTGATAATATGTCGTGCTCCGTGACTTAAATACTCGCATCATTGATTGACCTTTTCATAATATCATGGGAAGTAATCCAAAGGGAGATAATTACAAGAAGAATTTTTAAAAATTGTTTAATATTTACATTAATAGAAGGAAAGCGGTACCATGGTTTAGTAAAAACGTAAAATCAAGTTTAATTTTAAATTAAATTCAGACTTATGTTGTTACACATCTCACTTTAAATGTCAGGGTTTGTTTTTTCTTACATTTTTACAGGATCTGCAATCATTGCTCAATTACGGAGAGGAATCAGAAGTATCCAGCACACTCATGCTGGTTAGTGGTGGTGCTAAAGTGCTCCGGGTGAAAAAGGCAGCGTTCTTTGCTCAAGCCTCACCGCAGGCATTGGATAACACACGCACACTCTCAAGTAAAAAAAGGTAGAATGTCATAGCCCTTAAAGTAACACTAACAGCCCTCAGATCTGGTGACCTCTATGAAGTGACTGTGTGGTCAGCACTATGCCCAATCAAGTGGCAACCCAATCCCGTTGTCAGCACAATTCCTAGTCGCGTGGTCAATTGCTCTGTCACGTAGTTAGCTCTATTTCACGCTGCCTTTTGTTTCCACGACACGAGCTGTGTACCCATTAGAGCTGGGTGGACTCAGGGATGTGCTTAAGACTCTAGTCTGGAAACCGAGCTTTATTTACTAAGCTAGTAACAACTTCCTTGACCACTCGACAGGTCTTCTAATATTACGTTTCAAGTTAAGAAATCTTTTAAAATTTATAAGATTATTCACAAACTAGCTAAAAAGGGCAATTATTGAATCAATTGAATAATATTGTAAGGACTGGAGTTATTAAGAAAAACTTTATTTTTTGTTATTTTTAAATGTTGAAATAGTATTTTAAAATTTCAGGAATCCATCCGAAGAAGTCATCTTAGATTCCTATAAAAGTAAACTAATTTGGGATGAGTTTAAAGCCAGACTCGTCAAATCACTAGTTGGCAGGGGAGCTGGAGATCTTTCTGGTACTCTGAAAAACAAACAACACAAACGTCGAAATAAAATCCAGCATCAAATTCTCACTCCGCAAATCCAAGTCACTTCAGAACCTGGCAACTGCAATTCATCAGATGATGACACAAACAAAGCAGATGAACAATATGACAGTCATAGGTTAGTCCCGACTAAGAAACCTACCATGAGAAGACCTAGTAACTATTACGAGGAGATTGAATCAGTCGCGAAGAAGGAGATGGTAATCATCCGGAGATGCCCGTCTGCTGTCAGGCAGCATTTAAGGATAGCAAGGCCCATCAAGTCAGCCACACATTCCCCCAGTGTGTCATCATCTTTAGGATAACATCCCATAAATATACACACACCTGCTCTATGTGACATCATTTATGGGATAATATCCCATCAAGGTATCCGCACCATTTTTAGGATATCCATAAAGTTATCCAAGCATACCCCTAGTGTGACATCATCTTTAGGATAACATCCCATAAACATACACACACCTGCTCCATGTGACATCATTTATGGGATAATATCCCATCAAGGTATCCGTACATCTGCTTAGCATGTCACCATTTTTAGGATATCCATAAAGTTATCCAAGCATACCCCTAGTGTGTCATCATCTTTAGGATAACATCCCATAAAATATACACACACCTGATCTGTGACATCATTTTTGGGATAATATCCCATCAAGGCATCAGCACATCTTCTCAGCATCACACTATTTTTAGGATACCATCCATCAAGTTATTTCAGCATATCGCTAGTGTTGTATCTTAATGATGATATCACATCAACTAGTCTACACCAGCTCCATGTGACATAGTGCTTTGGATAACATCAACTTATCTCTATCTGCTCAGCAAGACACCACTTTTAGGATAACATCCACCAAGTCATCCATGCGTACCTGTAGTGTGACATCATCTTCGGGACAAGAGCCCATCCACTTCTCCACACATCTGACTGTTGTGACAACTTAACCTGTCTCTTCCATTGTATAATTCTAAATCTTAGATTACAGGTCTACTAATATATTACATTAAAATGAAAAGAATTTTATCGAAAACAACTTAGACTTAATGTTTGTTTTTACTATTTTATTGACATTAACTAGAATGTATGATCACCACGATTGCTCCCAGGGTTCTGGTTTTTTAATTTGTGTACTGGTCAGTTAGCCCACCCACCCTCTATTGTGTACTGGTCAGTTAGTCCATCCACCCTCTATTGTGTACTGGTCAGTTAGCCCACCCACCCTCTATTGTGTACTGGTCAGTTAGTCCACCCACCCTCTATTGTGTACTGGTCAATTACAGCCCACCCACCCTCTATTGTGTACTGGTCAGTTAGTCCATCCACTCTCTATTGTGTACTGGTCAATTACAGCCCACCCACCCTCTATTGTACTGGTCAGTTAGTCCACCCACCCTCTATTGTGTACTGGTCAGTTAGTCCACCCATCCTTTGTGTACTGGTCAGTTAGTCCACCCACCCTCTATCGTGTACTGGTCAATTACAGCACACCCACCCACCCTCTATTGTGTAATGGTCAGTTAGTCCACCCACCCTCTATTGTGTAATGGTCAGTTAGTCCACCCACCCTCTATCGTGTACTGGTCAGTTAGTCCACCCACCCTCTATTGTGTACTGGTCAGTTAGTCCACCCACCCTCTATTGTGTACTGGTCAGTTACAGCCCATCCACCCTCTATTGTGTACTGGTCAGTTAGTCCACCCACCCTCTAGTGTACTGGTAAGTTACAGCCCACCCACCCTCTATTGTGTACTGGTCAGTTAGTCCACCCACCCTCTGTTGTGTACTGGTCAGTTACAGCCCACCCACCCTCTATTGTGTACTGGTCAGTTAGTCCACCCACCCTCTATTGTGTACTGGTCAGTTACAGCCCATCCACCCTCTATTGTGTACTGGTCAGTTAGTCCACCCACCCTCTATTGTGTACTGGTCAGTTAGTCCACCCACCCTCTAGTGTACTGGTAAGTTACAGCCCACCCACCCTCTATTGTGTACTGGTCAGTTACAGTCATAAGGACACATATACACCAAATACCCAATGAGTAATAAAACAAATAGTATTGTTTGCATATTTATTATTCACACAAATCCTTGAGTTCATCTGCGATAACAAAAAAGTATTTTTTTTAAAAAGAAGGCACTAACTTGTTTTTTTTCAAATGTCTAGGATTTATACATCTTCTAATTTTAGACATTGGAAAATCAAAGTTTGAGAAAAACAACTGCTTTTCTCTACCGACTTAGAGATCTTAAACTGATGACTATATACTGAGAGTGAAAATTATTGCATAATGATAGGGATATAAAAAAAATATGCTGATGTTATGTATAGTTCAATGCATATGTGTCTGCGAATAAACACTGAAAAACTAGACAAAAGTAGTGAGGACATTGAATAAATTTGATAAATGTTCTGTGCATCTATTTCTGACCAACTTATTCATCAATCTTAAGCTGAGCTAAAACATTGAAACTAATTTCTAAAAGATTCTCAACAAGTTGAATTTTTAAAATTACAAGAATAATTTAATTATTAAATACATTTAAGTATACAAAATAAGATCCACTTTTAATAAATGACCAGAATGAACAGTTATATCTATATACTAAGAAAAAAACTGCAAGTGATGAAGCTTTTCATTGCATAATCTTCAAACCAACCTCAGAATATATAATACAATTTGTAAAGTAGTTGCTTGTAAACATACATTGATTCATTGAATCAAAAAATGTTTCTAATGGTAAAACATTTAAGGGCACTACTTATTGCTAAAAATTTGATTTATAAATACAGAAATCTGTAAAATACATCAACAATGTGGCCTACACAATGGTCACCTCAATGAAACCAAAGAGACCCACACCTCTTGCTAGCATTTTTCACCAAAAGCACAAAACATTATGTTTTTAATTCTGCGTGTTGCTAGGGTTTATGTTATGATTAAAATGGAAAAAGAAGAAAACATTCTGTTTAGGTTCCAAAAATAAGACTTACACTAAGGTTTGCAAAAATTATCATTATACAGTAAAGGGAAATAATTCTTAGATCTGTGATAAATAAAATTCTTGGATGTTGACATTGTTGGATACATGAGGACTTGATGCATTAACATGGCACATGGGATGATAGGTCAGTACAAATATTTAGCATCCAATAACTTTAAAGCTTGTTTGGGAGTTTCTTGATTCTTTTTTGCAGCAGATCCCAAGCTTTCAAAAGCTGAAACAGAAAGTAAGATCAACTTACAACATGAAATTTCAACTTACAACCAAAGAATCAACATCCAACCTGAAATTTCAACATACAACCAGAATCATCATACAACCTGAAATTTCAATTTACATCCAGAGAATCCAGTTACAAACACAAACATCACTTTACAAACAAAGAATTCACTATTCAGACACAAACATTTTGCCTCAAGTTTTTGTCAGTTTAGTGACTGGAACTTTCTGATTCAAGTTACCTGTTTTCTTGTGATTTCATATTCCCACTGTGGGCAGATGACCACATTAGACTTAGATATCCTATCTTCATTAGAGATCTGAGAGTCAACTCTTTTCAATGCTTCTTCACTGCTTAATCCATTTCTGCTCATAATTCTTTTCAAAGCCTTTCAAATAAATTTGTTTAAAAGCATACATTATAAAAAAAATGAAGTTGAAAAATTGAAAAGTATTTAAAAAACAAGATGAAACACTTCAGGGCATTAACCACTAATTTTCACAGGTAAAAAAACATAAAGCATACCTCATCTTTGGGTACAAATGTTGTCCACACCTCATGCACCATATCATCCCACCCAGCTTCCAAAAGTACAGCTGCTTCCAACACTACGACCTTTACACCAGCTTTAAACAGACATAAAATTACTACCTTTCATCACCAATAACAAACTTTTTTTAAAACTGTCAATCAATAGTATTAACCACCATTTTAACTATATTAATTAAATAAAATTTGTTTTTACCATGTGATAATAGTATAAAACTTTAACTAACAAAAAAATGTTAAAACCCAAAAAAATTAAAAGAGAGGTCAGAACTGAAGATTTTGTTACACTTTACAAAAGATTTTTTTTGCATCAGTAAACCTAGCATTTTTTAAAAGTAAACTACGGTGTACTAAAAGTACATAGATCTATAGACTTCCTTATGTAATTGAAGACAATACCTTTTTTATATTCTTCTATCTGTTCTTCAGCCAGCTGTCGAATAGCCGGCCACACTATGCTGTTCAGTTTCTCAAGCTTGCTCTGGGAAATTTTGCCACGAAGTTTAACATAGAATACAGTTAACAAATTTTAGACTATGAGAAATATTCCTAATTTGTTACTTTTATTTTATAAACTTAATAAAAGGAATGTTTCCATGTAAAATAATGGTTTTATTTACCTTATCATTAAATACTAACTGTCCTAGACTTGGTCGACTGATTTCGCCTACATCATTGAGGACTATAGTACCAAACTCTTTGACAATCGCTTCATAAGCTGGGGTACCTTTAACATAAGCTTTATGCCCTGAGGACCACAATTTTTGGAAGCAGTTAGTGCATGGAACATTAAGTTAATTTTGTTGTGCATTGTTTATTTTTGTCATGTGCATAAAAAACTCATTTTATTTTTTATTTCCAAACACAGTAAGAAAAATTAAAATGTATTTTTACAATTTTCAGTTTATATATAGTATAAGAGTTTACAGAATGATAAATGAGTAATTGTTAGGTCACTGAGTTTTTTATTATTTTTTAAATAAACTATATATTTTTAGTGAACTGTCATCTACATGTTTTAACAGTTTTAAGTTGATTTAAAAATCAATTTAAAAAAGTACCTAGCAAATCACAGTTGACAGTTTTGGCACCAAGTTTTTCTAGCTCTTTGCAAACATTAGACTTGCCACTGGCAATACCCCCAGTCACAGCTATTCTGTAAGGACTTGATGCTAGGCTCATTCTGTTCTGTGCAAACAAGAAAATGTATCACACTTTTTAATGTTTATAATAAATTATTTAAAACCATTTACTCGCATTTCAAAATATAGTTTAAAAGTAAACTATGAACAAATTTAAATAATTAAGTTTGAGCTAAACTTACAGGGACAGGTCTTATTAAAGTTCCAAGCATTCTTTTCCTAATAGATGAAGAGCTGACTTTAGATTCTTCTGTTTCTGAGTGGCATGCATCATCCACTAAATCTACACTAAACAGGTCCAGTTTGCTGAAACCCTAATAAAGTAAAGTGATCAGTTATAAGTGTGATTTCTATAGACATATCAATTAAGTATTCTATTAATTTTTTTGTGTAATACAATGGAATTAATTAGAAACAAGTATCAAAAGAAACAATTAATGCTTTGAATCACCTATTCATTGAGTTTTTAATTAATTATTTTTTTTAAAATTGTGTATTGTTAATACTGTACAGAAATGTACACATACTCGTTTGTGTCTCTCTTCATTAACCATTTCACCACCAGCTTCTGTTTCTTTGCTCACAACTATACATTGAAGATCTGGATCAGTAATAGTTGGTCCAAAAGGGTCAAAAATCTTTACAGTTTCCAAGTGAATGTTGGGTTTTACATCAAACACAAAGTCAACAACATGTTGATTTCTCTGTGCATAGGGTTCCATTAGTTCCCATAAAGTTTTTTCTGATTATACAAAATACTCAACATTAAAAACTTTAAAATGGCAATAGAAGAAATAATCACATTGTTTTAAAAGTTGGAAATGGATTAATAAATGCAGAACTCACTTTGGTTCCTTTCTCCTTCTGTGATGCCTACAGTTAATTTCTTTTCACAGCGCAGACAGCTTTCGGTGAGCAAGAGTTTATGACCAGTATGTAGATAATCAAATGTCCCTCCTAAGACAACATTGTCATAAGTCTGAAGTAGCTCACCAGACACTTGCACATTATTACTTGAAAGACTCTCAGGGACCGCGTTGATGAGGTTAAATTTCAGGTCTGATTTGACATTTTTAAAAGAATTCCTTAAAATATCAGTCAGTGACTGACTGCTAGAGTTCCACGTATCTTTGATATGTGATGAGTCTGATAACAAGACACAAACTTCTTTCTTTAATGAATAAGGCACAATACTGTGGCTATTAGGATTTGTACATATATGTGACAGCAACACCCGAATATCAAGAGTCTGGCAAATATTGAACCCACTTAAATATATATCTGAAACAAATGCTTGAACTTCATGAGTGCACAGCAGAGGCTGTAGAATCATATTTTGTGTGACAGTTTGATTCTGTAATGCTGGTTGTAAGCAGACATAGAGTGTATCACTGACAACACTTGATGCCTCTTGGACTAATGGACGAATCAATGCCCGAAGATGAGTCAGAGGTTGAGTGAGGATGAGGAGTCCAGTTTTTGCCATGATTTCAATAATAACCTTTTGTTACTGTAAAAAAAAAAGAAATATATTTTTGGACTTGATTAAGAATATGTAACTTTTAGTCAAGGGATGGAGGGAGTGGTATTCAACAATTGAAGCTGTTTCTTTAGTTTTAAAAATAGGCCAAAAGTCTATATTATTTAAATTATTTACTGCTGTACATACAGGAAAGTTATAATCTCATTAATAATTCTAATTAATTAGATAGAGTCATCTAATTAATTAGTTAATTGGTGCTAATGGTAATGAAATGAATAATGAAGAGAGTAGAGAGAATGCAACACTATGATGCTCGAGTGGCCTAACCTATTTAAATGAGATATATTTATAATTATATTATTAGGGTTTATATTTAACGGACCCATTATTTTGAGCTTATACTCTTTACTATTTACTTAATGCAACAAAACCACCAGTTAGTTGAGGCCAAGTCCGGGAGACGTACGGTTCTGCTAGTCCGGCTGCTACGAGCGACGGGGATACAAGTGAAAGGGTCGACTCGATATTATTATTATTATTTGCAATTTTAAAAAAAGTAAACTAGTCTACATCTGACTAGGCCTATAATCTAAATCTGTAGGAAAGATATATTACTAGAGAATGTAATAGATCATACTAGATATCCAGAAATGTAGATTCTGATCTACATTGAACATTGGCGAGAGTTGAACTTTAACCTTGTTTAGTTTGATCAGAGTATTCACCCCTGAAAGTTATTTTTAAACTCTAGCACGGTGTGTTTGGCCTACGAATCACAAGAGCAGCCAAAATTTGCCAAAAGGGATTTTTGTATGTAGAGTCTAAATTACTTTAGATAAATTAATCTATGGTTGTCAGTAAAGTATTTGCTTCTTGTCTTGTTGAATTACTATTCTCGGTTGGTGATAAGAGGCGACAATAAGTAGCCTATATGGATTTTTTTCGATTTGTTTTTAATTTTAGTTAGGCTTCTCTCTACCGCTTGGCTTACACACACACATGGTTAAGTTTTTTTGTTTGTTATTGAACTTATTGTCATGTTTATTTGGTTGGTGTCATTGACAACATAATAACAACATGAACATGTCATTAAAATTTTGAAAAAAAAAAGAGTAGGCCTATTCATTTTAAATAGTTAAACATATTTTAATGCCTGTTGAAAGTAACTTACATTTTTTCCATTGATTTTGTATCATACTTATTCAACCCCCCCCCCCCCATACTAAATACTTAAATAATAAATAGGCCTAATTAAATTATTAATTAATTAAAGTAAAGACAATTAATTATTAGGCCTAGCTAGGGGCCTATAGTATTATTATTAGGAATATTAGGCCCTAATAGGCCTACAATATTTAATTAATTAGGTCTAGGCCTATAATAAATTAAAAAGTATAGGCCTAGGCTTAATATATGAAATTGTTAAATCAAATTAAATGTTAAACTACTTTGAATTAACTCAATCCTTAATAAATTTTACATTGATTAGGGCCTAGAATCTAGTAGTTAGCTTTGTTTATGTTAAATAAAATTGATACTTTTACATTCTTTTTACTAAGATCATGAAAGTAGTTTTAGATGTTTGAGGGGGGGGGGGTGTATAAATAGTCAAATTCAGCTTGTTATTTATTGATCAGCCCCTTAGACATTTCTCTTGGGTTTAAAGGAAAGTACTTTTTCTTTATGTAACAACTAAGTGTGGCTTTTTAAAGGCTTAAGCTAAAGCTAAAAACAACATCACAAATTAATAGAATAAAAATTCATTCACATTGACCATTCCATTTTATTTTATCATAGTCATGTATGTGTGAATGTAAAAAGGTGTTTATATTATTAATTATGAATCTTTTCAGTCTTCAAGGTGATATCAATATCTGTAAAGATGAGCAAAAATGGAATACTAAGTAAGCTTCGTGCTTTGATGCACAACCATGCATATGTTAGCCAGCCTCTGCATGCTTATATCATTCCAACTGGAGATGCACATCAGGTATTAATTTTTTAGTTGTACTGAAGAATTCACAAATGTGATTGGCCTATGTTATATCTATATTGTTAACACCTGCAGAAATATGTTATCTTTCTGAGATGTTTGACTTGTGATAAAAATCATTATCTTAACCTCATTGATAAGAGCTTAAGTGATGCTCCTTAAGTGTAAAGGGTGCTAGACCACTGTCTATGGTTTACATTAAGCAGACCAGCTGTGGTCTGCTTTAACTAGACATACTACTATAGGTCATCATAGACAATTATTATACTATTGAGAAATAAATGTAATCTGAGTTTCTTCAGGCTTTTATCTAGAAGACAATTAGATTTTAGCAAATTTTCTTTTCCTTAATTATCTTTATTGCTAAATGTGTAGAACCAATATCAAAATATCATTTGTTGTGTTCAGTTTCTCATTATTATTATCCAGTTCTTTTAAAAAAAATATATTTTTCATGTATTTATTTTAATTAATGCTTAATAGATTTCTGCCAAAAATAAGTTTTAATCTATTCCACAGTTTTTCAATGTAGTGTAAAAAGTTCAGTAATCCTTTCAGAGTTTCAAGAATTGATAGCAGATAGTAAATACGCTGTGACAAAACTAATGATTTATTTTTTCAATGTTTTGGTTTACTAACAATTTTGTGACTTATCTCCACTATATGAAAAAGAATCTTTTGTAAGAATATAAATAATTGACATCAACAGAGTGAATATGTTGCAGAATGTGACAACAGACGCTCATATATCACAGGATTTACTGGATCTAGTGGTACACCATTTATTTACTCTAACCATATTATTTTCATTTTGTCTTTTACCTGTTCTAAACAATTAGTTCAATTGTTCTTTACTAGATTTTGCTTCACTATTACTGATCAAGTCTAGAACTTCTGAATAATGTTTTTTTAATTGATGTAACATTTTTAAAAATTGACACTAAGATTGCAGCATTAACAGCATCTTGTTTTACCAACACCAGGCACTGCTATTGTAACAACTAGTGAAGCTGCTCTTTGGACAGATGGCAGATATTATCTCCAGGCAGAGCAGCAGTTGAGTAATGAATGGAAACTGATGAAGCAAGGTATAAAAACACATCCTTTTACTATGAATTTATATTGAAAAGTGAAGCAGAATTCTGAATCTAACACATTTTAAACATTTCTTTATTGTTCTGCTAGGTTTATTGATTTATTAACTGATGCATAGGCAAACAGTTACTTACTTGTTTATAACTGTAAAAATAATATTTTTAGCAACTAAAGTTATAATCTATTTCTTTAAGTTTTAAATGGATGTATAGTTAATGTAATGTATAAAACCAATCAGGCTGATACAGAAAATAAAGAAATAATCTTTTCCTGTTAAGAATGTATTTAAATTTGATAGGGAAAGCATATCATGTCAGCTGTCATTTTAATTGACCCTAAGCTGACAGTAGGTAGAGCAGTATAAACCTTTTTTTTTTTGTAAAATATATCATGCTTATGCCTTTTATTTTTTTAGGTTTGCCAGAAACTCCAACTGAATCAAAATGGTTGAATAGTGTAGGTCATAAAAAAAACTAATATTTTATTTAGAAATACATCTTTCAAGAACTCAGTTTTAAATTTATCTTTGATATTACTGTTTACCATTTACTTACTTTTTGACTGTGCTGTAGGTCTTACCTGTTGGAGGTCGAGTAGGGTGTGATCCTCGTCTTATGTCTATTGGTTAGTAGGATTTTTCATTCTTTTTCAGCGTTTCACAATTTTTATATTTCAGAGTGTTGCTTCACATTTATCTATATCCCTCAATTGTCATGTTACATGAAGTGATCAAATTGTGTTAAGACTAGTACATTTTGTGATTATTTTTTTTCCTCATTGTTATTAACAGAATTTTGGGTTGCATATTTTAGATAAATGGAAGCCCCTTCACAAAGAGCTCCAGTCATTTGGTCATGAGTTAGTCAGCGTGGATGAAAATTTGGTGAATCTCATCTGGAGTGACAGACCTGATGAACCTCACAGTGAACTCATCATTCTAACGGAGGCTGAGACAGGTATGCCATGAGAATATCAACATTCACTTTGTTAATAGTAAAGTCAAATTTGCTTTGAAGAGCTGGAAGTATTTTATATAAGAAAACTAGTTTTTTTTCTAAAGTAATTTTAAATCTAGAGTGTTGTGACTTTTTAAACTTGTAGTTGCATAAATAAAAATTGTCATTTTTTTCAATTTGTAATTAACTAAAAGGTTATGATAAATTATAAATAATTAATTAGAAATGTAAACCCAGTCACTTCCTGACTACTTTAAGCATGTTTATATTTTGGCTGTATCCCATAGTTGTAAACAGTTTATTATATTTTACTGGAACCAATTCCTTTTTATCCAGTACGTTATGTTCCATCATTAACTGTATACAGATCTGAAAAAAGCAGGATACAACTACATTACGGTTTGAAATATTTTATCAATATTTTTAAACTGCAAAATAAGGATTGACAATTATATTTTGATTTCAGGGAAAACTTGGCAGCAAAAAGTTTCACAGATCAGGGAAAAGATGATTGAAGAAAAAATTTCTGCGCTAGTGGTTACAGCTTTAGATGAGATTGCTTGTGAGTAGAATCTGGTTAATTAGGTAATGATCTTAGGCATGAGTCCAACAATCTAATCCTTTGTTTCTTTAGACAGCCAACAGTTAGTTTTGAGAGAGAAAATAGTTTGATTTTTAATGAATCATAGGTCTTTTTTGTTTCTAGCATTATGTTTAAAAAAATGTGCATTACATTAATTGTTAAAAAATTAATTAAAATAAAATTCTAAATTTTTTTCAGGGTTGTTTAATCTCCGAGGTGCTGACATCATTTATAATCCTGTTTTCTTCTCTTTTGCAATTCTAACATTGGACTCAATCAAGTCAGGTTTCATTTATTTCAGTCTTTTGTTCACACAATTTTTTATTTAGTTTCCTCTGAGAAAATAAGTTTCACTCTTTTTACTCTTTTCACTGTTCAAAACACAGGTTTTAAAACTACTTTTAATTAAATTTCAGTTTATTTATAAATGAGAAAAAATTATCCAAACAAGTCCTTCAACATCTGAGTGATGTTCAGTTCCACCCTTACGAAAGTGTGTATCAGTTTTTATCTAAGTTAGCAGAGAGTGAAGCAGTGTCTAAGATTTGGGTATGTTTTTAATGCTGTTATAAGTTCTTGTTATATATACTTTTGCTAGGTCGTCATTTATATCTGGCCTGCTTCTCTCTCTCATCAATCTTTCATGTAAATGGAACCATTTAAAGCCAGATCTCCTTCAGTAAACACATTGCTTTCTTTTTCCAGATTAGTGGCAATTCTAGCTATGCAATTTACAATCGGATCCCTAAAGTAAGTGATCTAACTATGGCATCTATTATGTAATGGCTGTCTAAAGAGTTTGCTCTTAGTAATTATTTTAAATTACTTTTTAACCTACTACAAAGTAGCAGGTATTTTTATACAAATCTACTTTAATATCAGCAACTGAAATGCAATCCTATTTTGTTTATTTAAATAGTTGTGTATGATTTACTTACAGCAAAAAATTCATCTAGCGTCAACACCATTAGCATTGATGAAATGTGTAAAAACAGAAGCAGAAATGAAAGGAATGGAACATGCACAGGTATAATTTTCCTTGGATCCAGTAAGTTTTATCTATTTACTTTACTTGGTGACATTTAGCAACACTTCTGCTTTGTGTTCAATGCCTGAGATTATAATGTGGGGTGAGGTGCCCCAGGAAAAATTGCTTCCATCATGAAATGATAGACTTGATCTGCCTAGATTCAAATACTAAAATACACTAGTACATATCTCAGTTTGAAAGTTATGTTAACGAGCTGAATAAATAGGTTTATTTAAATATCTAGGTGAAAGATGCTGTTGCCCTGTGTGAATTCTTCGTCTGGCTTGAGAAAGAGGTAAACAAAGTTTTATGGTAAAAAGTTTTAAGTTAACTTATCAATTTCAGATTTGAATAGCTTCTAGTTTATTTTACTCTTAACAAGAAAGGTTGTAAGTTTTGAAAAGATCTTATTTTATGCTTAATGGCAGAAAATTTTCATTTTCTACATTTTTCTGTTTCTGTCTTTGCATTGTATAATGCTTTACAAAAGTAAAATCTCTTTTAGAATGGAATAATTTTCATGTGACTAGACTACTGCATGACATTTTCCTTCAAGTACAAAATTTTGTAATTAATACTTTTGAAATGTTTAGGTGTCTAAAGGGTCAGTCACTGAAGTATCAGCAGCCAAAAAAGCAGAGTTTTTTCGCAGGTAAAATGTGTAGGCTACGTTAAAACATACAGTAATAAAAGACAAAAATGAGTCAAGAATGTTATGTTCAAGAAAACTGTCCATCTTTGTTCAATTATTTATTCGGACCTTCATCAAAATTTTTAATGCCGCCAATCAGGAAATGTTCACAATTCTAGACTATCTAATCATTAATGTTATTCATTTGTTGGTTTTGATTTGTAAAGCTTATTTATATACTGCAACAAACTTAAAGCAAGTAAAAAATCAACACCATTTGATCTATTTGTTAATCTCTACCACATTTCAGTCAGCAAGAAAATTTTATTTCCTTGAGTTTTGATACAATATCCAGTATTGGACCAAATGGGGCAATCATCCATTATAAGTAGGTGGTTTCTATCCAAGGGAGATAAGTAAACAAATTATATTTAAAGCTTTTAAGCATTTCGTTATCTTTTTCTTCTGCCAAACATTATTTTCCTTGTTAATGTAACAACACATTTGTGATTGCAAGATAAAAAAAGAAAATTCTTTATTTTAACATGATGAATTTAGGCGTTTATGTTTGAAAAATCAGATATAAATTGAGATTGGCTGCTTCAAATATAAAAATATTTGTTTCCATCAGACCAAGCTCTAAAACAGATAGCACAGTGACTACAGACCAGATCTATCTTATAGACTCTGGTGCTCAGTACAGGTAATTAAATTTTTATTTCAATTTTATTTTCTCAAATGTAGGACTCAATTGTTTTAAGAAATACTAATTCAAAACTTATAAAAAATTTGTCAGATAACTAAATGTGTGGAAAAACTGATATCTTCATAGATAGTGAGTATAGATTGTAAATGTTAGAGATTTACTAAAGTGTTGCTGTTTTAGGGAAGGCACAACTGATACCACAAGAACAATTCACTTAGGAACACCATCCAAACATGAACAGGTAAATGTCCAGCTTTTTTAGACAGGTGTCTAGAATTAAATTATTAAATTCTACTGATAAAATTCTATATGTTGTTGATCATTTTTAAAAATCTATTTTGCATATACTTAACAGGAATGTTTCACACGAGTTCTCAAAGGTCACATTAACCTTGCCTCTGCAATATTTCCACCTGGTATTAAAGGTAATAACAATTTTTTTTTTTTAATTTAGATAATTAACTTACTATTTAGTTAATATAATCCATTTTAAAAGAACTTATTTATAATTTTTAAATTTACTTTGAAAAAATTCTTTACTTACTCTTCAAATAGACATTTATTCTTGCTACATGACCCTTTGCAATATTTTGATACACCTAAAACCTATGACTGATTTTAAAGTTTTACAGTCAGTTTTGAACCGTAATTCTGAAGGTGAAAAAAAACTTTAAAATATACCAATAATCTCTGAGTACTGATACTTTTTTTCTACAATGAGATTCTGAGAAATTTCAAATTTACTATCTGGCATTGTAAGAAATATATCTATTTTGAAATTTTTAGAAGACAGTGAAATACTGTAGAGCTAGATTGAAAACACTTGCACTACATGTACATATAAATATAAATAAAAAGAAGTAGCTAAAATACCAAAATCATAAAACAATGCCTTAAACCTCTACTTATAATTTAAGCACTAGCTCATAGGGTAAAGTGATTCATTTTGTCAAAGAGGGTCATATATTACACTATTGTTATTTTGTTTGTAGTGTACCTTTAAAGTTTATTTCATTAGTGTCTTAACCAGTGTAATATTAACAGTACTAATTAATGAATTGCCCACCTAGGCCACATGCTGGACACATTGGCTCGTCAGTATTTATGGGAAGTAGGACTAGATTACAGACATGGAACTGGACATGGTGTTGGTGCCTTCCTCAATGTCCATGAAGGTAATCGTTCTTTTAACATAGTCATGTGGTAAGAAATCAATTGTCAATTGTTATTTAACTCAGGAATCTACAATGCAGACATTTCTTTCTTAGGTCCATGTGGAATTTCTTTCCGAACCCCACCCACAGAAGCCAATCTTGAAGAAAATATGGTTTTAACTGATGGTAATTTTCACTTGTACATTTACTTTATACAATTATATTGGTAATTAACGATTTATTTTAGATAATTTTGTTGTATGCAACTTGTGTCTTGGTTGTGGTTGGTTTTTGTATTTATTTCATAAAATCTTATTATGAATTAGTTTTATTTTTATTGAATAGCAATTACTTATTCATTATATGATATACCTAAATTAGAAAAAATTTATTCCTGATCCTGATATAATATTTAGATTTTTTTTTCTAGAGTTACTGAACCTTTGTTTTGGGTTATTGAACCTTAATCAGTAAAGGCTCTCATTTAGCAAGGACATGATGGAGTACTAAGTAAAATCATTATCAAGCCCTTTTAGAAGCTCAAAAAACTTAACTAGATTTTTATAATTATTCCAGAACCTGGTTACTATGAAGATGGGAAGTTTGGAATTAGAATTGAAAACTGTATGAAAGTTATTAAAGCAGTTACCAAAGTAAGCTTATAATTTTTTCTTATAGTTTTAATACTTAGGCAAAATCACTAATTCAAGGTTTTATAGTTTTTAAATACTTGCATAATAAAAACTATTCCTCTTTTTAAATTGATAGCTATTTCTCTGGTAATTATGAATTGGCAATTTAGAAATATTATTTTTAAAGATATTTATTTAATGGCTACAATGCTTTATGTTTTTTCTTTTTATTTTCCATATTGTTGTCTTCATCCAGTTTAAATACAAGGGAATGAGTTAGTGTATATTGTTGAAATGACCATGAAATTTTGTAAATAAATGTTATTTTCAGTAGGCATCTTTACCATGGCAACTAAAAAAATGTTAGGTCAAGCAACACCCATAATTTCTACTATGTTGATATTCCTTTACAAACTGACATTTTATTTTATTTTTTAACAGCACAAATTTGGTGGTAAGGATTTCCTTACATTTGAGCCTATTACTCTTGTTCCAATTCAGAGGAAAATGATAGATGCCTCCATCCTTACTGCTAAAGAGGTATGACATTTTACATGCAAACTGATTTAATTCACTAGTCCCTGTGCAATGACAGCTTTTTAATAATGTCACGCTGTTACCACATTCAAAGCAACAAATTGAAATCTCTATTAGTTTTACTCATACAGTTATTAAATATAGCATTTTAAGTATTTTACTTGTTATTGATAAATCAGCAATTTACCTTAATGAATTTTATTATTGATTTAACTTTTTTTAAATATTTCTTTGGTGCGTACATAGACTGAATGGCTAAACAACTACCACAGTAAAGTGAGACAGGTGGTGGGGGATGAACTGAAAAGACAAAACAAAACAGAAGTTTACCAATGGCTGATCAAAGCTACAGAGACTCTAGGTTAGAATCTAGGTGTTAGAATCAGTATTCAGATTCATTCATGTTATATTCATATAGTCAGAGCTCAAGTGCTTAATTGTAATTAGAGTTGTTTTATACATTTTAATTTGATAGATTTTCAAAATTGTTAGATTATCCTAAAAATATGGTTTTGTAAAAAGAAATGGTGGTAAAACAAAATGGTAGAAGAGCCAAACAAAATTAAAGAATGTTTTTGTTAGAAAGAATAAAGTTAGAGGGGATTGTCTTGTCATCCAAGTAATTTGTAGTAGCTAGTAAGTCTGTCGTTGAAACAAAGGTGAAACAATAATTGAGTGTTACAGATGTTGTTAGCAATCTACATGAAACATTCTTTAAGTTTATTGCTTTAAATGTTTTAACGTAGAGAGTATGATGTTGTAAGTGATAAGAGCATTTTTAGCAATTTTAGATGTGTAACAAAAGCAATTTTATTAAAGTATTTTCCTATCTAGTGATTTGTTCAGTTGTTTTTACATTGGTTTTTGGAACTTCACATCTTTAATTGATTGAATTACATAATTATTTTTTTTCTGAACACTATTCACATATTACTTAACAGTTAGCATTTATTTATTAACTTTATTAAGAATTTAGATTGTTATTTTCATAAGGAAAAAAAATTCCTTATTTCTACTGTCTGACTTTCATACTTTGCTCATGTGAGATTTCAATTTTACATTGTTCAGTATTGACTGATAAAAACTTTTAATCTTGTTTAATTGCTAAGTTAACTGACATTTTCCTATAAAACTCCTCATAAGGTATCAGTATTTGAGGAGAACAAATGATAATTCTAGAAATACTGAGCTGGCTAGTGAATCTTGCATCAATCCTCGCAATTTTTGTTTTAAACATAATTTCAGTTTTATGCTGTTGTTGGCTGTCATCAAAATTGCAGTAAAAGTTTGATGTCAATAAACTGTGTGTGTCAGCTGAGTACATTTTATGTGTGCCATCATTAGGTTAAGCTTTGGTGTTGATTGCTAAAATAATTCAAATAATATAAAAACATATTTAAATATTAAAACAATTCCCTTAAAAAAAAATAACACCACCTGTTTAAGTTTAAAATGAATTGATTTAATGATTGACTGGTCTTGCATAACATTTGAAACCTCAGATGATCTGACTCTCATGAACTTCAGGTAGACTGTTCAAACATTTTTACCTTTATACAACCTGGGTAAACCATTCACCTTCACACACTTGTGATCCAAGTCATGGCTGCTTATTGAAACTAGCATCTTCCTCAACTCCAATTAGAATGAAATTTAAGCCCTGTTGGGATCAATATACGTTAATCGACTGCATAGTACAATTCTGAATAAATAACGCTATACTTTAGACCTAAATATTCAAATAATCGTTTCAAGTTCATGCCCAAGACATGAAGTATAGTTTATCTGTTTCAATGATCACTCCCAAATACTGTCATCAAATGGGAAGTATAAGATCAGCCCCATGTGTCTTGGGCACAAAAGGGAAAAGATAATGAGCTGATCACATAATTTGCTATTAGAATTAGTAAGTATTGTTAAACAATGGTACTGCAGGGTCACTGAAACAGGTGAACTCTACTTCATCTGCCCCATGGAATGCCAGGTTCAAAATGATAATTTTACATAAACAAGCTCTACTAGAACAATAATATACTGGAAATAAACAAACCTTCCAATGTGCTGGTCTTGAAGAAATGTCATTTTCACGAATATCTAAGTATGTAAGAAAAGATAATGCTACAATGGTGTCGTCTGGTAAAATTTTGATACTGTTTCCTCTTAGAAGCAAAGATACAAGAGTTGTCACATCTTGGAATACAATAGGAACTTCTTCAAAACAATTGCTGTTAAGATTAATGTAAACTAATTTTTTCCAACCACTAATATCTGAAGGCATTTCTTTAAGGAGATTGTCCTCTAAGTTCAGCCACTGTAAATGCTGAAGGTCACAGAGTTCTTTTGGAATAGCTGAGACTTGGTTTTTTCTAAGTCCCAACTTTCTAAGTTGTTTTAGCTTTCCTAAGGATGGCGGCAAAGTGATGATCTGGCAGTTAACCAGCCACAGGCTCTGAAGGGAGGAAAGATTGGCCAAATCATCAGGTAAAGCACTCAGTGGATTATGTGAAGCAGACAAAACCCTGAGCTTTGATAGGTTCCCAATACCTATATTAAAAAAAATTAGAAGAACATATCAAGAATTTGAAAACAAAGAATTTAAAACAAACATTGCAATTTTGGTTGCTTTTATCAAAATCAGTTAAATAATAATGCTTTTAAAATATGTAGTTTTTTTTTTTGTAAACAATATTTGAGAATGGAATTGGCTACTGAAAATGAATTCTTTTTTTTAAAGATACAGATGTAGAGCAGAGAATATCCTGGATAGCTTTTAAAAAAATCTGTTAGTGGTCTTTATCAGTTAAACAAATGCTCTTTTTAAATTTATAAATATAATACAGAGGGAATGTATCAAAACTATTCCAAGATCTTCAATCATTATACACTAGCCTTACTAAAAATTATACTTCAATGGGGATAGAACTGGGTTTAGGTTCTGTTTATGGCTAGTTGAGAAGTTAAGATGCAATTTAATTTTAAAAATAATAATTATATTATAAAAGTACCTGTAGGTAACATAGTGAGCATGTTATTGTCAAGGATGAGTTCTGTTAAATTTGGTAAGGAACACAGCTCTATAGGTGGCATTAACAGCTTGTTGTGGTTGAGCAATAATATCTGAGCAAGTGTGGCACTTTTTAATCTCCCTGTTATTATTGTCAGACACCTGTGGCTCAAATTTATGATTCTATTTTTGTCTTCAATTGCTTTGTCTAAAAACTTTTCTAACTCCCATAGCTCCATGGGTTTTTTGTCAGAATCATAATTGGCTTCATCCATTTTCTATTCATCCACTCCAAAAAATACTTGAGGGACATATTTTCCAATACTGGAAACCTCAACACTTTATGTAGGCCTATTCTTCTTTAATGCTAAAAAAAATAGAAAGAAAAAAGTATTTTTAATTAAGCAACTGACACAGTTTAAACTTTTGTACTTAAGGGTTATTACAACTTCTTTAACAATAAACCAACCTGCTTTAAATCTTAATCTACTCTGTTATGAAATCAATTCAATCAATTTTATTATATAATAATAAGGTAACAATTCTAAAGACTCAAGGATTTGTAGTTAACTGATAAAACACAACTTTTCATTTTTCTTTAGACCAAATGCTTGAAATTCTAAAACAAATATTTAAAAAACTAAAGCAAATATCTGACTGTTTGGTTGGACTCTACTAAAGTTTAGGCCTGACTTATTAATTAATTTTGATAACTAAACTCAATTTTTTTAAAAAGCCAAAACTATTTGGTTGTTTAGGACTATATTTTATCACAGAAAATGTTTTTTGTAGGTAACATGGACTTAGTCCTTAGATCTCAGCCAGTGTTTCTTCCAAACATATTTCTCCAGGGGGGGGGGGGGGGGAAAGTAGACTTTCTTTGGGGGGGGGGGGGGGGGGGGTGGCGGACACTGTTAAAAGTATATATTTTCTATATAAATTTCATTTAGTTCGGGGGGGGGGGGGGTGGTATACTTTCTTTGGGGGGGGAGACCCCCCCCCCCCCCAAAGAGATGCCTGGAAGAAACTCTGCTCAGCCAACCAGAGATAGCATCTCTTATGTAATGCTGATTTTGGGGTATGGCTTTAAATGATAAATTAAACCAATTTAAAGTAAATGTAATAGTACTAAAAGTCACAAGTGACTTATCATTTGAGTCATATGATTAATGATAAGGGTAATCTATCGTTTTGGGTACGTAAAATCGCCCGCGGCTATTAATGTACGAAAACGTTACCTCATTGTCAAGGCTGTAATAGAAGTATATTGTGATATGTTTGTGTCAAATATTATAGATACATGAATAATGAACCTAAATCAATGGCTAAATATATCAATATAGGCCAGAAATTGACTTTAAACAGCAGTGTCTGCAAGCAAGATTTGCTATATAAACAGCAGCCATTTGTAAAATAGAGTGACTTCCGCCTGAATCTCGGCTATAAGTCTATAAAAATAAAACTAACAAGATGTCTGCTATAGTGAATGAGCATGGTTGCATCTGTTGGAAACATCGCTGGTGTTCATTTATTACTGAAAAGTTTTAATTCAATTGTTTAAAAACCGGTACATAAATGAAACAAGGAAATATTTTGGTATTTTTCAAAACATAAATCCTCCTCAAAATGTGAAATAATTATTAAAATGTAAGGAGTCACCTGTTTTTCACATTGACATTACTAGTCGCGGGCGATTTTACGTACTTAAAACGATAGATTACCATGAATATGATAAGTGACATTTCATAATGGTAGCTTATTTTATGAGGTCAGCTTACGTTAAAAAGAATAGATCTAGATTCTAGATCGAATAAAACAGGTCTACTATTCAATGCTACAACCAAACGCGGTTAATTTTCGTTTGAACATTTCTTTAAAATAAATAAATGCGGATCGTTTAGTATGATCTTTTTTCTAACAAATTGTTGCCAGCAGATACTATTTCCGTTATTGTTGTCCTAATTCTAACATTTTATCGCAGAAACATAAATTGTCTATATAGCTTAAAAGTCATGGATATTGAGGGGGCAGTTTATTTAAAATTCTATTGTGCCAATAGATTAATGGAATCGCAACATTTCCGGATCTATTGACTCATTCATCAACAATAAAAGTAGTAGTTAGCCACACTTAAGAATATTTAATCTACACAATAGTTTGCTTACAATACATTAACACATCTCTCCATTAATTTCTACGCAGATCAGGCATTTCAAATTTCTGCGACGCGTAATCAGGGTACATAGATCTAGAATCTATATTTTTATTAATTAAATTTAAAATTCTGGATTCCGTAAAAAACATAGTCTAGATCTGAATAGATCTAGACTAGATCTAGAATTCTAGATCTAACTAATCTCTGCCTTCTCTCTCTGCTAGTGTGCTAACTCAACAACTGCTAAGCCAAGCCTAAGGGCGCTACTTAGATTCTACAGATAGACTGTCACTATGATGGTTAGTCCTACCTAACTAATCCAAAATCCCAATTCTAGCATGAACAAATTATTAGTAGGCCTAATTGACTAATTAATTAATTGTAATACTAATCTAAAGACTAATACCTAAGCCTAATTCAATGGACGCCAGCGAGAAAAGTCTCAAAGGTATTTGAGAGGTCCATAAATTAATTTTAAAATCATGCACGGCGTAGTTACAATTAATATGGTTATAAAACCCTGCCTGTCTGGGTTTTTTTGGACTTTACTAAAGATTGGATATATCTTAGGGAGGCTCACTAACTTAAAAGCGTCCTTGGTTGCTAACCAGAACATGGCGTAAGGATCGGACCATGACTTCCGGCGAGTTTTTCGACTTAGTTCCAGAGACCTTCTTAGAATTACTTTTAAAAATGTTTATCACGAGTAAAATGGCGGGTTTTCACGTTATAAAAACATGCTATAGGTGGCAAGGTTAAATATGCCAGAAAAGCATTTTCAGAAATTGCTTTGGGGAATGTAGGCTAAATTTAAAGTCGGTGTCATTCAAAATAATTTAACTTTTTAAATATAGATCTCCCTCTCACAAAATTGATTTCCAAAGTAAAGCATTATTAGTTTTATCATTCTATGAAAAAATAAATCAAATATCTTCAACACTTTTTTTTATAAGATGTGTCCAAAAAATGACAACCAAATTTTTTTATTTTTTTTGACCACGTGACCGCTATTTGAATGGATACGTTTACCTGGCATGGTTTTTTATTTTGCTCTTTTGTACAATAAAAAATGTTATAAAATTAAAGAAATAAAAGAATTCAAACATCACTTCTGTCTTGTCTTTTTTAAAATTCTTTTCTGATGACATTCTCTTAAATTTTTTCCCTCTATAAATATATCCCGACGATAGACGGGCCAATTCTACTTTTAGGAACTCTCTTGTAAAAAAAAATTAGATCTATTTCACGGTCAATTAAAAAGTTAAACCCTTCAGCTTTTAAGCAGGTTGTCATGGATGGATCCCTCATACCATAGCTGTGAGTGACCAAAAAATTTAAAATTCAATAATTTAGTCTAAAACTTGCAACAACTCCCAAAATTAGTGCCTAGTGGATAAAGTATGGACGTTTTTTATTTAGTTGTCATGTTTAAGTTGAAAATTGAGTACATTTCAAATTTACTAAGAAAATCTAATATATCTGATGTTTTTAATATTTTAGGTAACTAAATAAAAATTAAAAAAAAGCAAAAACAATTTGATTTTCACGTGTAATGGCGACATAAACAAAGGGATCCTGCTATTCGATAGGCCGCCATAAATTTTATTGTACACATTGTAAGCTAAAAATAGAAAAACTAGACTAGGTCATGGGGTTTAAATTTGCATTGTTATTTAAAAACTTGATCTGCAAAGTTTTGTAATCAAATAGTTATCGATCACTAAGTTACTGTACAGCCAATCAATATTTGTCTTACAAAAGGGAAACATCCGGTTATAACTTATGAAAATAAATAGAAATGTAGCCTTAAACTCAACAAATTATTTTCAAGTTCTCTGGATTTGCAACTTTTATAGCATTTATTCTAAAAATATAAAATTTCTAAATTAATTTTAGGCTTAAGTTTTTTTTTTTTTTTCACTGTTTAAATCTAAAAAAGCACATTTTTATTCCATGTCAACAACATTATGGAAGGAATCTCGTCAACTCGCTGGTGTCCATTGCCCTGATAAATGTACTACTGAGAATAATAGTCTCAAAATTATTCAAACCAAAGGGCTGCCCATATCTACATTTTTCCAAATCATATAGTCTAGGCCATTTTATGTTATAAAAATAAATATCATACATATAGGCCTACTTATACTGCTATAAGGCCTAGCTTATATTTTATATAGTTTGCATTTATAATAATAGGTAGCCCTATAAAAATCTGACTGTTTGGTTGGACTAAAGTTTAGGCCTGACTTATTAATTATTTTTGGTAACTATTTTGGTAACTAAACTCATTTTTTTTAAAAAAGACAAAACTATTTGGTTGTTTAGGACTATATTTTATCAAAGAAAATGTTTTTAAAAAATGGCAGAACTCTGTCCTGTGGTTTAAAAAAAATAATTTTCTTTAAAAAATTTTATCTCCAAAGTTTTGAGAACAAATTATTATGAAGTGGAATTGTCAGAATATTGATCACGGTGTTCTCGTACAACCAATTACTGTTTGTCTTACAAAAGTAAAACTTCAGTTTAAATAAATAGAAATGTAGTCTTAAACTCACAAAAAATATTTTTAAGTTCTCTGGATTTACAACATTTATAACATTGATTTTAAAATTATTAAATTTCTGAAAAAAAAAATTCTGGCATAAGTTATTTATTTAAAAAAAAAATTATGACATCTTTGGTGGCAAAATAAAAAAGACCATGATGATTTTATCACATCAACAATAATGATTGAAGGATTCTCATGTACTCATTGATGTCCATTAATTAATAAGACCATATTTTTTGGTACTTATTAATATAAATTAACTAATTAACCAACAATTAGCAGCAGGCAATACTTAAACAAACTGACCGAATGTTGAGTCTAAGTAAGGTAAAGGTAATACCTATCCCAGCTTTGCTTTAAAGTAGATGTACCACTTTTAACATCTACCCCTAACAGTTGAAGTATCAGTTTTAGCTAAGCAAATTATACAGAGAAATGGGTACACCTAGTTAAACTATTAATAATGAGTAGTTTGTACTCCAGTAGTATACTGATAGGTGTAGTTTAACTAATAAAGATGTTGTTACTGTTAGTCTGTGGAGGATGCTATTTATTTTTTAGGTTTGATTATGACAGCAATGCTAACAGAAAGTATCTAATCTACAAATTCATTTCCATACATTTTATATTACAGGCTTAGCTAGCTATAATGAATTCACAAACACTGTTATGACTTTTCTGTTTTTCTTAGCTCTACGGTTTGTCTATTTAACTTTTATAATTTACAAATTTGTAATTTTTTTTTTTTTAAATATGTAAACAATTTTTTTTTACCTTTTTGGCAGCAGAAAACACCTTATCCAAACAGTGTGAATAGAATGCAGTGAGACCAACAGAACCATGGCTGATGAAGGTCAGGATACAACACCATCATCTCCACCACTCCCAAAGAAAGGCTCCTACAATCTAGACTTTGATTCTTTTGATGACTCCATCAACCCATTCCAGCCTAAAGCAAAGCTGAGTTCCTCTCCACCCAACAAGTCCCACATCCCTGCACCTTTACTTGATGATGAGGCAGTAGATCCATTCAAACCCAGGGCTAAAGTTGCCAGTTCTCCTCCTACCTCTCCTAAAGTGAAGGCAAGAAATGACATTGTCCAGCCAAGCAGTGAGGCCCCTGGTGAGCTGGTTGATGGTCACTTGGATGACTGTAACAACAGTAAACAAAGTGATCAAGTTGTGCCTAAGTATGTTCACATTTTATACACAGTAGTTGTTTATTTTAGTGACATTCAAATTTATACCACAATATCTTTATGTTCATGTTATCTACATAATTGATGATGTAAGTGACATTCCGCCAAAATATTTTCTCCTGATTAAAACAAAGTTAAGTTTTTAGAAATCAGTTTTTAAAATTTATTTGCTAATTTACGTTTGAATAAATTAGTTTCAACAGCATGTTGCTTGTCACTCATTTGTTGTTTATTTTGCATCTGGCAGACAAAAGAAGGTGATCAAGAAACCAAAAGTTCAGTCCAAGTTAAAGCTTCCTAAGAAGGTCAAGGCTGCTCAGGTAAATTCAATTTCTTCTCTGTAGAAAATCAGTCACTAAATAAGTCAGCCACAGATATAAAGGCAGAATTTTAAACTGAATGTAGTTTGGCTCTCTTAAAGAATACTTCACTCTTTTCATTCACTATTTAGGATGTAATGGATGATATTCAGATACTGATGCCTGAAAAAGCTGCTAATGAAGAGAAAGCTGAGCCTTCTCGATCTCTTAACCAAAGTCTCACTGATGATAGTCTGCTTCAACAGGCTGGAGGAAATAGTACACTAGACGACAGGAAAGATAATATACCCAGCTCCCCAGCTTCTAGTGAGGCTGTGACTGTCTTAAGAAATCATAACACAGGTTGGTCACATTAGCAGGTCTTTTTTTTTGTTATCTTGTACTACTTGTAGCAACTTGTTTGGTGTAGAGAAGTGGTTGTTCGGTGTTTGTTGACTACAATAAATATTTGAAATTTTTCCTCAGAAACCGATGGCATAAAAGAATTGGATAACTTGAGCCAATCATTTTCAAAAGTAAGATCATTTTTTAAATTTTTCATCTCTACAACAAATAATTAAGTATGATAGAAGTTTCATTCTCCAAAATGATAGCCAGACACACTGGCTTTATTCACTTTTCACTGTGTTCGTAATCTTCAAGTTAAAAACTTCACATTTACATGAACCAGTTGAGTTTTTGATGTTTTACTGTTATTTCATTTGTTTCTTTGGTATAGATACCTAATGTACTGTATATGTTCTTTTAACAGAACGGTCCAGGGAATCTACAAGACAGCTTCAATCAGCAGGGTAAGTTTTAGTTAATAAAAGATGAATGTATCCTATTTATAATTATTAGCTGAAGGATCTTAGATAATGTTTAGAATTTAGTCTGTTGAAATCAATTTCACATACAAATGTTTTTCTGAAAAAATGAAAATTGTGGCAATATTACTAAATCATGAGCATATAACTGATCTGTGTAGTTGTAATATAAATACACTGTTTTCACCAAGTATTTATACATTGCACAGTCATTGTACTCATCTAGTGTGTACATACAGCCCACCATTAGTGTAATCACATCTGTACCAATGTCAGTTGGGTGGTGTAATTTAAAAGCAACAGACTAACACATTTTACTTCTTTCCCTCTTTTGGTTTTTAAAATTTATCAACTGCCAACTAGTGTTCTAATCATTATACCTGTGTTGGGTAGGTATAAAGGTGTTTTTTGGTAAAGGCTGGGACATACTGTGTTGGTCTAGGTAAAAAAATTGTTAGTGAAGGTCAATGTGATCAAATGTTTATTAACTTTATTACATACTGTGTTTGGTTAGGTTTAAAAAATAATAAGAATATCCCAATATAACTCAATATTTTCTCAAAAGAAAAGTTGGATTAGAAGAAACTGGACACTAAAAGCTTACTTTCAAAATTCAGAAAAGAAAAAAACAAATCCTTTCAAATTTCAAGGGAGACAATTCAAAAATTGACGTCTTAACAAGCAAAGTATTTTTTTAAAAAGCTTATCGCCCCTAGTTTTATGAAGATGTCTTTCTCTTTTTTCCCTTCTTCTCTTCTTCCCCCCCCCCCCCCCCCCCCCCCCCCATTGACTCATTTGCTAGGAATGATACAAAAAAATCGATAACATATGTGGCAACTGGTGTTATTGTGTCCACTGGACATAGCTATGGAAGGGGGATGGGGTGGAAAAGGCAACACATGCATGTGGTCTATTGATGTAGACATGATTTTTATCTGAGTAACGAGTTGCTCTAGGATAGCTATAAAACGTTTGACTAGAAATCGATAGTTTGTGTGTTTTTACTATGTTTTAAAGATTTCTCCATCATTGGTAATGGCCTGTATCATGTGCGTATGCTAACGTCCCTTTAGCAGTGTGCCACAAATAGCATAATGACTCGAATGTGTGGCTGTTACATTTAAAATCCATGGGTTGGTGGGTTAACCAAGTATATTACCTTAAAGTCTTTAAGCAAGAAATAACATATATCAGTCCGTTCATTTCCATTCCATTAACTAGTTAGAGAGTTCGTTAAAGTAATGTTGAGCAGCTAACCCAAGGTTAAAGTAGGGGGCTGAGGGGGGGGGGGGGGGCAAATTTGAAAGACTTTTGTGTGAATTGTAATAAACATGGATCAAACTCAACACTGAACGTCAATAAGCTTAGTTGCTGTTTTAGAAAAAAGTTGCAATTTTGATGGCAGGGGAGGTAATAATGGTTTTAAAAAAACACGTGATGACCTTTTAGAATTGTAATATTGTTAGTCTGACAATATTGCAGGGAACTTGTGGGCACTCACCTGCATTACGTCACAACTCTTCAAACATATTGGGAATACAATTCTACACGTTTTCTTTCATTCCTATCGAATGTTAACATCAGATACTATTAGATCTTTGGCAATTGAAGCTGTCGTTTTATACTTATCATTTAAAGATCTCGGCGCACACAGAGTTAAAAATAGTAAAATCTCTTTGAACGAGTGGAATAATAATGCGACACATACCGAAGCACGCACGATATAAAATGGCCGTATAAACCAATATATCAGTGTATAGTGAAGTGAGTACCAAACCAAGGTACCCGTGTAACGTTCCCAGTCCAACCAAAGTACCCGTGTAACGTAACATTCCCAGTCCAGGGAGCGAATGGCTGCACGCAACAATGCTAAGCCCTGGTCTATTAGCATCCCCACGTGAGGCGGCACTGATGAGTAATGCCCCTCCCATTTTCCCACGAGCCTCGCCAGATGTTACATCAACTTTAAAAAAACCGTCAAGCCTAGCGTGCAGGGAACGTAGACTAATGGTGCAGGGCGAACAGCCTCCAGTCGTCTGCTGGCTAGCTCGGGCTCTGGTGAGTACTGGGATATGGGTCAAATACTCGCTTCTTTCTTCATTCATGTGCCTGGGTTACCCTCTTTTAGCATTTCCGGATTACAGTCTAGACGGATTTTGCGGTACTTAGGATAGGATACACGCCATTCTAGTTTATAGGTACACAAGGTAACTAGGTTGTAGTGTAGATAGTGGATTACTTTGTAGGTCATGTGGAATAGTGGTCAAGGGAGTAGCTCACGTTAGTAGCACATGTTATTTAATAGGCCGTGGTAGCACATGTGATATAATAGGATGTGGTAGCACATGTTATATAATGGACCGTGGTAGCACATGTGATATAATAGGCCGTGGTAGCACATGTGATATAATAGGCCGTGGTAGCACATGTGATATAGTAGGCCGTGGTAGCACATGTGATATAGGTAGCACATGTTATATAATAGGCCATTATATCACATGTGATATAGGTAGCACATGTGATATAATAGGCCGTGGTGGCACATGTGATATAGGTAGCACATGTGATATAATAGGCCATTATATCACATGTGATATAGGTAGCACATGTGATATAATAGGCCGTAGTAGCACAAGTGATATTATAGGCCGTGGTAGCACATGTGTTTTATTAGGGCGTGGTAGCACATGTGATATTATAGGCCGTGGTAACACATGTGATATAATAGACAGTGGTATAAAAAGAACGATATACACAAGTGTTTGAAGAGCTGAGTGATTCTAACATCCACTAGGTAAACACAATTCGTGTGTTAGCATTGGTAGGTCTGTAAGAGATCGCTGCGTTCTATGGTAGAACCGGTCAGCTGGTGACGCCTTTGGTCAAATCAATGACCTAACTGATCAGATCAATGACCTAACTGATCGATATCTGACCTAACTGATCAGATCAATGTCCTAACTGATCAGATCTATGACCTAACTGATCAGATCAATGACCTAACTGATCAGATCAATGATCTAACTGATCATATAACTGGTCAAATCAATGACCTAACTGATCGATATCTGACCTAACTGATCAGATCAATGTCCTAATTGATCAGATCTCTGACCTAACTGATCAGATCAATGACCTAACTGATCAGATCAATGACCTAACTGATCAGATCAATGACCTAACTGATCAGATCAATGACCTAACTGGTCAGATCTCTGATCTAACGGGTCTGATCAATGACCTAACTGATCAGGTCAATAACCTAACTGATCAGGTCAATGACCTAACTGATCATATAACTGGTCAGATCAAAGATAAAACAGTTGAGACATCACTGGTCAGATCTATGACATGTCAACACACCACCGTCCAGCAGACACGTGATGTATCATGTCGTGTATACATACCGCGACGTTTTCCCTGATGAATCCATGTCTGGTCACGTCATCCTCCATGTCTGTGCATGTATTTGCTGGTCAATCCCACAAGCCGTGATGCCGGCACCTATCTGTGGATGATCCCGTCCCACCAGCCGTGATGCCGGCACCTATCTGTGGATGATCCCGTCCCACCAGCCGTGATGCCGGCACATATCTGTAGATCCTACCACCTGTGTGACGTCCCCGATGCTGTATCGGGTTTGACTGCGGCCGGCCATACACCGCCTGTATGTCGCCGCTCTCTGCCGCCTGCTTGAGGCCGCCCAGCTGTGTGGGATCGATGAGCCCGCACGAGCGAGTCTCGTGGTCACATACCTACTGTGTCGGATCTGTGTCGTCAGGGATATCACACTGACCGCTTGGACACAGGCTCGAGGGTGTGCTATGAGTGTGTCAAAGACAAACAGTAAGTCGTGTGTGTCGGTGTGTAGGCCTCTGTGTATTGATCCGTCTGGGCATCGAGTTCGGCTGTGTGCCGGGGATTAGCTTGTTATTCTCAGCTGTCTACCGTCTGGTGCTAGATTTGGACTATGCCGTCAGATCTGGTGCAAAGGCTGGACTATGTAGGCGGTTTCAGCGGCATCTGTACACACTAGTTTGATGACATCACTAAAATGTGTACATGACCTAGTTTTCCGCGATTAATGACATCATAACAATGTACATGACCTAGTTTTCCGCGATTAATGACATCATAACAATGTACATGACCTAGTTTGGCGCGATGGATGACCTCATCAAGATATGTACATGAACTCATACGTACAAAATTTGCCGCGATCGGTGATATCACCGTTTGTACAAGACCTAGTTAATTGCTATACACAAATCAACACAAAAGAAGACAAAAGCATGTTCTTTAAAAAATCTTTGTTTAAAAACTGTCGTGAAGGACAAGAGTTGTCGTGTAAGACTAAAGATTGTCGTTAAGGACTAGTGACTAGGGCTAGTCAGATGTAGACAAGGGCTAGTCAGATGTAGACTAGGGCTAGTCAGATGTAGACTAGGGCTAGTCAGATGTAGACAAGGGCTAGTCAGATGTAGACTAGGGCTAGTCAGATGTAGACAAGGGCTAGTCAGATGTAGACAAGGGCTAGTCAGATGTAGACAAGGGCTAGTCAGATGTAGACAAGGGCTAGTCAGATGTAGACTAGGGCTAGTCAGATGTAGACTAGGGCTAGTCGGATGTAGACTAGGGCTAGTCAGATGTAGACTAGGGCTAGTCAGATGTAGACTAGGGCTAGTCGGATGTAGACTAGGGCTAGTCAGATGTAGACATGGGCTAGTCAGATGTAGACTAGGGCTAGTCAGATGTAGACTAGGGCTAGTCGGATGTAGACTAGGGCTAGTCGGATGTAGACAAGGGCTAGTCAGATGTAGACATGGGCTAGTCAGATGTAGACTAGGGCTAGTCAGATGTAGACTAGGGCTAGTCGGATGTAGACTAGGGCTAGTCGGATGTAGACTAGGGCTAGTCAGATGTAGACTAGGGCTAGTCAGATGTAGACAAGGGCTAGTTAGATGTAGACTGTGGTTATGAGCTTGAGCAACTTGATTCTCCACGTTCACGCCAATTCTTGTCGCGTCATTGAATTATGTGACGTCGGCGCTGCTCCTGAACGGAAGCATTGATCAGCAAATAGAAAATAGTGGGAGAAGTTTGTCAATAGTTGGTACTGCTTGCCACCAGGCAGCTCTAGATCATGGTATGGTAGGGTGGATTCACTCGGCCTTTCTTGTCTCATTGTCTGATGGGGGGGGGGGGGGGGGGTGACTGTCGTACAAAGTAAAAGTTGGGTACACTTCAAATAGCGCTGGCGTGATATAGGAATTCTTTGTATCGCTACAATAAAACTAAATCTAGTTTGTAGATTATGTAGATTATCTAGAATCTAGATCTGAGACTTAGATTCAGCTATGCTATTGACCTACAACAGGACGATTCAACTTTCTTACGTCCCTTAACTTGAGTTACATATGCACTGAATACCTATCTACAAGCATATCTCGTTGACTTGTTTTTACCAATGTCAATACAGATAAGTATCTGTCATATTTTTTTACCGAATAAAACGGCTTGACAAAGCAAGAAAAACCGGATAGAATTCAGTTCTAAAAATCAGCTTCGGTGGATGGGCTACTACTACTAGTCTAATACTTAGATCTAGTAAAGTTATGTGTGATCTTAGTTATCTAGTGCACATTTTAAAATTGTGTTCTGTGTATTTTCTGTTTCAAATATTCAAGACTATTTATAGCTGCTATATATGTTACACACGACCCTAAGTTCACAGTAAAACAGTTCAAGCATGATCTATATCCTTCAGTGCCAGCCGAGGCCGTAGGAGAGCTCTGATTTAGGCTAAAGGTTACGTTAGTTTTAGGGTGATCTGCGGTTCTGACGGCATTGGTCTGGTTGTAAACCTATCTCGTATAGATCTATATTAGTATCAGAACCGCTAACGTTATGGTTAGGGATGAGGTAGGTTACTGGTTAGGGATGAGGTGGGTTACTGGTTAGGGATGAGGTAGGTTACTGGTTAGACATGAGGTGGGTTACTGGTTAGACATGAGGTGGGTTACTGGTTAGGGATGAGGTGGGTTACTGACTAGCCCCTGGTTAGGGATGACAACTATCGTAAAGCACCGCTCTGGAAAAGGCTGGAGTTTAAAAGAAAATCATGCACTAGTCTGTATTAACCTCGCGCATGTCTGGGTTCGTTGTCATGTCTCAATAGACATGTCCAGAAGACACATTTGACTTAAAGAAGTGAATCTGTCTGAGGAAATACGAAATACTGCTCAAAATATTATTGTTAAAAGTAAACACAAATGCTTGTCTTTACTATTTTAACCATTTAGCGTCGTCTTTGTATAACGTCATATTTGAGCTTACCGCCCCTTCGTCCTACTGTAAAACTACGTTTTTACAGAAAGATCTCCCACTGTCCTCCCTATTTTCCTCTACACAAAAAGCTAAATTCTTTTTATTACTAGATGTACACATCTTAAATCCAGAATAAGCAACTCGTATTTGTATGCTAATTTACTGTAGGGGTCGCGGACAGGGTTCTTTGTTGGCAGCTCAGGTGTCAGGTAGACTAGCTTGGATGTTGTGTAGGTGTGATGTTAGGGGTAGTGGCTGCTGGGTGGATAGGTTAGCTCATGCTAGCCGCGTAAACAGTGGATAACATGGTTAACTGGTGGATCATAACACCTGGTTAACTAGTGTATCATAACACATGGTTAACTAGTGGATCATCATACATGGTTAACTAGTGGATCATAACACATGGTTAACGTGTGGATCATAACACATGGTTAACTAGTGGATCATAACACATGGTTAACTAGTGGATCATAACACATGGTTAACTAGTGGATCATAACACATGGTTAACTAGTGGATCGTAACACATGGTTAACTAGTGGATCATAACACAAGGTTAACTAGTGGATCATAGCATATGGTTAACTAGTGGATCGTAACACAAGGTTAACTAGTGGATCATAGCATATGGTTAACTAGTGGATCGTAACATATGGTTAACTAGTGGATCGTAACACATGGTTAACTAGTGGATCGTAACACATGGTTTATTATTAGATCTTAACTTAGGGTAAATAGACAAGGAAAGAGATAGCTGGACACCCATAAGGTTGTGAACTTAACTCCATCAATTGAGTCCTCAAGTTACCCATACTTTAGTTTTTTCACCATGTCACTTTTGCTTTTGTTGTGTCACCAATCCACCCATGCTATAGTTGTGTCACCAATCCACCCATACTATAGTTGTGTCACCAATCCACTCATGCTATAGTTGTGTCACCAATCCACCCATACTTAAGTTGTGTCACCATGTCACTTTTGCTTTTGTTGTGTCACCAATCCACCCATGCTATAGTTGTGTCACCAATCCACCCATGCTATAGTTGTGTCACCAATCCACCCATACTATAGTTGTGTCACCAATCCACCCATACTTAAGTTGTGTCACCAATCCACCCATACTTTAGTTGTGTCACCAATCCAACCATACTATAGTTGTGTCACCAATCCACCAATAATTTAGTTGTGTCACCAATCCACCCATGCTATAGTTGTGTCACCCATCCACCCATGGTATAGCTGTGTCACCAATCCACCCATGCTATAGTTGTGTCACCAATCCACCCATACTTTAGTTGTGTCACCAATCCACCCATACTTTAGTTGTGTCACCAATCCACCCATACCTTAGTTGTGTCACCAATCTACCCATACTTTTGTTGTGTCACCAATCCACCCATGCTATATTTGTGTCAGCCATCCACCCATGCTATAGTTGTGTCACCAATCCACCCATGCTATAGCTGTGTCACCAATCCACCCATGCTATAGTTGTGTCACCAATCCACCAATAATTTAGTTGTGTCACCAACCCACCCATACTATAGTTGTGTCACCAATCCACCCATACTATAGTTGTCACCAACCCACCCATACTTTAGTTGTGTCACCAATCCACCCATACCTTAGTTGTGTCACCAATCCGCCCATACTTTTGTTGTGTCACCAATCCACCCATACTATAGTTGTGTCACCAATCCACCCATGCTATAGTTGTGTCACCATGTCACCCATACTTTAGTTGTGTCACCAATCCACCTATACTATAGTTGTGTCACCAATCCACCCATTCTTTAGTTGTGTCACCAATCCACCCATACTATAGTTGTATCACCAATCCACCCATACTATAGTTGTGTCACCAATCCACCCATGCTTTAGTCCTGTATTGTGTGTTCTGGTCCCATTGTTTTATAGGTCTCTGTGATGCATGTTTTATGTCCCTTAAGTTTCCTCTATAGTTTCCCTGTAATATTTGAATTTTTCCTGTTTTCTAGTTTCCATCTGGTATTTGTAATGTTCCTGTTTTCCTAGTTTCCCTCTGGTATTTGTAGTGTTCCTGTTTTTCTAGTTTCCCTCTGGTATTTGTAGTGTTCCTGTTTTTCTAGTTTCCCTCTGGTATTTGTAGTGTTCCTGTTTTTCTAGTTTCCCTCTGGTATTTGTAGTGTTCCTGTATACTTTGATCAAATGCGCTGGTTTATTCACTTCCTGTTTGTACTCAGTGAACCTGGACATGTGTGTATGATGGTGGGTGGGGGGAGGGGGGAGCACAAATCTTCACTGCAGCTTAGCCTAAAATCTCCAGCATATGATATATGATAGCAGAGAAATGACTTACTCTCCTTAACCCTCCCCCACCGCAGCCCTTCATCCATCTCCCCCTCCCCCCATCAAATAATATTATGGTACAATTTTGTGGGGGAAAATGACATGTTTTTTAGACTGATTTAAACCCCAAACACAGGTGCTGTTACAGGATTTGTTATCTTTATCTACAGAGAGATTGTCAGATCAGCCATCATCCCCACAAGAAGATAAATTACATCACTCCAAGTAAGTTTTTATGGTGCTAGCTGCAACATAGGCTATCCAAGTTTGCTTAGAATCATTATACACCGTTGCTTAAATTCAATAGACTATTACTTGTTGTTTTTTTTTATCAACAAACATATTTATTTATCCACAAACAATATTGTTCATATCAACAAACACTTGCTTGTATCAACAAAGCCTGTTGTTTACATCAACAAACACTTAAATAACAATTTGCTTGTATCAACAAACACTGTTGTTCATATCAACAAACACTGTTGATCATATCAACAAACACTGTTGTTCATGTCAACAAACACTGTTGTTCATATCAACAAACACTGTTGTTCATGTCAACAAACACTGTTGTTCATATCAACAAACACTGTTGTTCATATCAACAAACACTGTTCATATCAACAAACACTGTTGTTCATATCAACAAACACTGTTCATATCAACAAACACTGTTGTTCATATCAACAAACACTGTTAGACACACCTGTTGATAAGAATTGTTGCTAGCACCCATCAGTGTTGACCCTAGCTTGTGTTGTCTGAAGGAATGATGATATGCTTGTGTTGTCTGAAGGAATGATGATATGCTTGTGTTGTCTGAAGGAATGATGATATGCTTGTGTTGTCTGAAGGAATGATGATATGCTTGTGTTGTCTGAAGGAATGATGATATGCTTGTGTTGTCTGAAGGAATGATGATATGCTTGTGTTGTCTGAAGGAATGATGATATGCTTGTGTTGTCTGAAGGAATGATGATATGCTTGTGTTGTCTGAAGGAATGATGATATGCTTGTGTTGTCTGAAGGAATGATGATATGCTTGTGTTGTCTGAAGGAATGATGATATGCTTGTGAAAACATCGCCTGAAGGGAAACAAGCCAAGAAACATCCAGCAGCGAATGCATTAGCTAACTTGCAAGCAGAACCCATCTCAAGAGGAGCTGACCCTAAAGTAAGTCTCTCCTTGGTGTGCTCTTGATCTGCTTGGTAGCCAAACTAAAAGATATGTACTTAGATGGATATCCCTAAACAACAACGCATAAATGTATCTGTAGATATACACGTTTATGTAGGAACTGACATTCTTAACACAGCATTAATTATATTCAGCAGTCAGATGATTAGATTAGAGTTAGTCTGTTAGTTTTTGATGTTGCTGTGGGTTTGTTCTACCCCAGTTAGATGATTAGAGTTAGTCTGTTAGAGTTTGATGTTGCTCTGGGTCTGAAGTTAGTGGATATACCTAATGTTGATCCAACTCAGCAATTCATTCTAGAAAAAAAAAAAATTTTTAAAAAGAAAAATTAATTTTGATGAGTTAAGTAGGCTTAGGTGTGACATTATTTAGGGGTCAGGGGTCAAGTTTTAGGGAAAAAACATGACATCATTTATAGATGATAGAATATTTTAGTAAAAAATAAAATCTTGTGTAAATAAATTTAGTGTTTTTGAAAAACAGCCTTTTATTCCGTGTAAATAAATTTAGTGTTTTTAAAAAATAGCCTCAGAATTTATGCTATCATCCAAACAGATTTGTGTACTTAGAAATATTAGTATGATACATCAGGAAATTATGCAGGGAACAGCAAAATGACACTTGTTTTGGTATAACATAAAAAATCTTGTAGTGATAGGCAACAATCAGTCATTTTTCATGATTGGTACACATTATATTAACATAACCTTGTAAACCTTTTCCTACTGTAGTATGAATGATAATCGTTGTCATTAAACAAAGAAAAATGCATATCTGATTAAGAAATCTGCCCGAGGGCTATGTAATACACTGAATGTATGTCTACTGTATCAGCTGTTGTATGTATATGAGCATTGAGTAGCTACCAGAGACTTAATCAACCTGCTTTAGCTCTCTACCTGTGAGAGACTGAAACCTGTTTTTTCTCTCTACTTGCAAGAGTGAGTCTAGTTCTGAAGACAGCCTGTTTTATGACGCGGTTGACTATCCGCCTGTGGCACCAACAAAAACTAAGCTGGGACAGGTACCCAGAGCTCAGCTCTTTTTATTTCCTGGCATGATCACATCTTTCAACTGACCCCTTGTAGCTTACACTTGACAACATACCAGGCTGCTAGTTTTCTTACGTAGCATGGAACAGTGGACTTAGCTTGTAGAAATCTTTTTGCTTTTGTTGTCATTAACATTACAACTTTAACAAAATTCTTGAAAAGAAACATTTAATAACATGTATTATTCAAAGGCTTGGCTGTGTTGTATTTATTATCTACTTGAAAAAATATGTATTCACTAGGCTTGGGAAGTAATTTTAATCTCAATCCACCAATTACATACACACAATGTTTAGAATCATGTCTGACTGCCTTTCCTGGTAACTAGTAATTAAACCCAATTACTTACTGGGCTTAAGTGACTTGGTATTAACGAGTTGTTACAAATGTTCTCATCAACATCTCACATACATTCTCACATACTTCTCTTCATACATTTATGAATTTATTACCATACAAATATACACACTTATGACTGTTACAATACAACATAAACTTAGCTTTATATGCTCATGAATTTATTGCAATGCAACTAATGTGGGAACATTCTTGTATTGAATAAATATTTCTTGCATTATAATCCTATATATTTTACAATTTTTTGTATTTAAATACTTGACTGTTTACATGCACAAATGCTATGCCTAATAAGCTAGAAAAGAAACACATGTGACATAGCTGAATGTGTGTGTGAGTACTGACCACACATGAATGGTTTACAACTAACATCTGTTCAGCCTGTCTAGCTTTTCACCAAGTTTACATGGCTTTTGTCTAACACTTTTTCTTTAACCCATTTAGTTTTTATTTATTTATTTTTTTAAACTTTACTGCAGTAATTTTAAGACAAATGGTGAGTACTAAGAACTGCTGATTGCATGTCTGCATCTTATGTAAGACAATTAAAAAAAATATTGCCGTCACATGATCAGTTGTTATTGTATCCAAATATTTCCAGTTAATTGTGGGGGAATTATTTTTTTCAGATGAATTGTGGTGAAGTCCATCACTAGAGGAAACAATGAGTTCCCACCTTGTAATGTAGCTCATGTTAAATGTTTTGGGTTTTTTGTTTCGTTTTTTTTTTTTTTTTTGCTTATTCTGTTCCACTTTTTCACAATGTTAGTTGTTCTTTTTGAACTTGCCAGATTTCCATTCAGTTTGCTGTGAACAATAAAATTGAATTTATTTACTGCCTATGATATTGTATGTACCCAAAGTGTATTGTTTTTGTTTTTTGCACAGAAAAACAGTACTATTATGGACAGAGGTCCCAGCCAACAGGAAGGGGGAGATAACAAAGAAACAGTTGTTCAGCTAGTGCAGGTAAAGTCACCCAACATTTTCTCCCTTTGTGCAGCTGTCTTAAAGCTTCTGGCCTTTTTATTTTTCGTGGGCTTCAACTACTCCGTTTTATTTGGTCTCTTTTAGAATGCACGGTTGTCCTAAGAACCAAACACTTTTTTTCAGGATTTTAAAATATTTGAATATATTTTATCTTCCACACTTTGGCATAAATCATTGTAATGCACAAACATTTTATAAAACCTTTTTATAACTCTACGGCACTGAACTGATCGTGTAAATATGTCAATCTCTGAGACACTTTTATGGCAGCACCATTTCTAATGTTGCAACTCAAAACACTTGATGTATTCAGCTTGTGTTGTGTTCTGTGTCCGTGTTTTTAATAATATTTTTTTTCACTCACTTGTGGTTTATTTTTACATCAGAAATGTGAAATATATAAATATTAATTTGGTAGTTACATTACATTTGTAATGCTCCATCTTTTCCTTAGGATCGACCGAATTTTGCTTTAAGAAGGGTAATTTGTTGATTAAAATTGATTTGAAGTTTTAAAATGAATTTACTTTGAATTTGTAAAATAAATTTTTTGGCTTAAAGGTGCATCAGTTTTATTTTAAAAGTATTACACTTGAACAATTGTTTTCAAATTTGTCATTCAATTTATTTTGATTGCACAATCAAGCAACACAAATTTAGCATAAATTACATTAGAAAGTTTTGTTTTAACTCATGATCACAAAATCTTTGAAATGTTTAGTGGAAAAAAATATGTTTTCACATCAACTTTTACATGCAAATTTAACATATTGTGTTATCAATCCCAATCTTTTGTTTCAACTAATCTCTGAGGCAATCAGTTCCCACTCTGATACAAGACCAAGGATTTGTTAAATTAGAAGTCAATCAATTTTATTTTCATTAACTTTACATGCTTATATGCTTCATTACTAGTTAACAACAACAGCTTAACAATTGTGCCTTCAAGATGTGTCTCTTTATTTGGCTTTTAATTGTTTTGTTGTTGACAGATTCTATTTTTTGCTTTTTTTGTGTCTTTATTTTGTTTGACACAATCAATGTTGCTTTTTTTATTTGTATATTTTGTTTTGATCCTCAAGGAAGTTGGATACTCTCAGGTAACCTTTGAGCAACAAAAGCCTTAGTTGTGTGCATGGGTGTTTTTCTTTTCACACTCACACTGGTATGCCACCATCAAACCGTTCTCTTGCGCAACTTAATCAGACCAAGTTTCAGTTATTTATATTCAATACACAGTATACAATATATTCCTTTATACTTTTGTTTTCCCACTATGTTACTGCCAACCCATGCTATACTAAGTGTAACTACAACAACCATGTAGCTAATACTCCAACCAGTTGAGCTAACAGTTGTCACCAGCATGCCCCACTCAGTATGTGCTTGCTTTGTGACACTCATCTGACATAAGTCGCAAGCTAGGATAGGATCTATGATATGTTGGTGGACATTGGTTTATGTGACATGTATCTTTTATCTCTAATGGCCAGGGAATCTGTCATGTTTCAGGATTCAGTTGTTTAGTTTTTTTTTATTTGAAATTTTTTTTTATTAGAATTACGTAGATTGGGTCTAATGATGTATAATTAGTTTGTTGCTAACACAAATCTAAACCATGTTTTTTAGAGAACCTAAACCATGTTTTATTAGACAATCTAAACCATGTTTTATTAGACGTGTGCTGTGTGTAGCTGTGAGCTTCCAATCCTTGTTGCTAACAATCTGTCATCTCTCCTTGCATTTGAGATTTTCTTCTTGTCTGTAGACCTAGAGGTTTCTGGTTCACTTCAAGGGTGTTGGGGAAATTAATGGATTCTCTTTTCTTCTACGACCCTGTAAGATCAAGCTAGATCCTATCTACTTGTACAAGTCTAATACAATTAGGGTTTTATCCACCCAGACCCCCACTTGTAGTAGAAGTGTAAAAAAGTTTTGTCCCTCGCCCGCCCCACCCAGACATACCAAGTTTGCCATCACATGCCACCTCTACAAATATTGCATGATGTTTACACTTCCACAAGTACACAGCTTAATTGATGATCAAGTATGGTCTTTCATTTTTGACAGTCTTAACACATCTTAAGTTTTCAGCTGATTTTTAAAACTATTTCAATAATCCAGATTTTTAAAAAATACTATTATTTTCTCTGTGACATAATATTTTATTTTAATTTTCAGTTCAACTTTAACTTCTTTATTAATCTTTTAAAAAATTATTTTTTTTTAATTAACTCACACTTTAAACTACCATGTTCAATATTTAAAAAAACCAGATCTTAAGTATGTGAGTGGAGTGCGCTTCAAGCAACTGTAACTATCTATTATTGGCTGGACGATTCTCTAACTAAACCAGCTTCCTGTCCCAAACCTTTCTATACCAGTCATATTTTTATTAACATTTATATCATACAGGATTTTCTTGTAATAACTGTGACAAATATGGCTTCAAATTAAATGTAACTGATAATTATTTCTAAAGATAACTATTTAAAAACACAATAGAATTTTTAACAAGTAGACAATTAGAATTTTGTTGACTAAACTGTTTGCTAGTTTTAACATAAACGTAGTAGATTTAGTATTGTTTTAAAAGCTAAACCAAGTGATAAAATGTTGAGTGATCTTTTTCTGTTGGGGTAGTTTCCCCTGGGATTTGTGTTGTGTGCTAATCATTGCAAGTCAGGGTTCTTGTGGTCAACATTTTTCTTACATTGTCAGGTTGTAAGGCTGAACTATGGTATCTGTGTCAGTATTTGTATATTGACTGACTTATGTCTTGTGTTAGTGTTTGTAGCTGTCTTATGTCAGTGGTTGTCTGTCTTGTGTCAGTGTTTGTGGCTGTCTTGTGTCAGTGTTTGTGTCTGTCTTGTGTCAGTGTTTGTGTCTGTCTTATGTCAGTGGTTGTGGCTGTCTTGTGTCAGTGGTTGTGGCTGTCTTGTGTCAGTGTTTGTGTCTGTCTTGTGTCAGTGTTTGTAGCTGTCTTGTGTCAGTGTTTGTAGCTGTCATGTGTCAGTGTTTGTAGCTGTCATGTGTCAGTGTTTGTAGCTGTCTTGTCTCAGTGTTTGTAGCTGTCTTGTGTCAGTGTTTATAGCTGTCTTGTGTCAGTGTTTGTAGCTGTGTTGTGTCAGTGTTTGTAGCTGTCTTGTGTCAGTGTTTGTAGCTGTCTTATGTCCATGTTTGTGGCTGCCTTGTGCCAGTGTTTGTGGCTGTCTTGTGTCAATGTTTGTAGCTGTCTTGTGTCAATGTTTGTAGCTGTCTTGTGTCAATGTTTGTAGCTGTCTTGTGTCAGTGTTTGTGGCTGCCTTGTGTCCCACCCACTGACCTTGACCTTTACCTGGCAGGTACTCAGGTATTCCCAGTCAGACTGGAACAAGATGAAGCAGGAGCTGGAGCTCAACTTCCAGGCCAGTCTCCTGAACAAGGAGAGGGACTGGAGCTTGTTGCTGGGGGAGAGAGACAAGAAGATTACATCCCTTGAAGAGACTTATCAGAAGCTTAAGCACACCAATGAGGACATGAGGTCAGCATACAACATACAGCTTTATGTGTCATTTGATAGGGTACAACATACAGCTTTATGTGGTCATTTGATAGGGTACAACCTACAGCTTTATGTGGTCATTTGATAGGGTACATAATATTTTTACTGCTGTGTTTTATTTACCAAAGTTTAAAATGACTTATGATTTGAAGAAAGTTGAAACCAATTCATTTTCTCATTGTTTTAGGATGGTTGTTGCTGAATTTGAGAAAACCATCTCTCAGCTCCAAGGTAAAAACATTCAGCTGTCTCTTGCTTCTTCTTCCTCATTCTTAATTGCAATGTTGGACTGGAGTTTCTTCCAATTAAGTATTATGTGTCAACATGTTATGCACCATACGGCCCGTTGACTCTAACTTCAACGTACTTTTCTTTCTGGGTTTGCTTCCATAACTTTTGTTCAACTAACAACAAACTACAAGCAGTTGTTTGATTTTGGAGTTGTCTCTCCTAGATGGAGTGTTGTATTGAGCTGTCAAGCCTCATCTGCCGGGGGAGGGGGGGGGGGGGGGGGTTCAAAGAATCTCCATTCAACCCAGTTGTCAGCTAGATGAATATCCTGTGGAAAGGGCTCTCATTGTTTCAAGAAATTGGAATGGAAAAAATAGAGCACATTATTTTAATATTATTTAACACTATCGTTTGAACTCAATCTTAACTATTTATATTACCTGCTTGTTATAGCCATTATAAGCCTATTTCTTGTTTGTTATTATTTTAGCTGAGAAAGAGAAAGTGAAATCAGATTGTCAAAAATCTGTCCAGACTTTGGAGGGGGAACGAGATCAGGTAACATAAGCTTAGTAGTAATACCTAGATGATGTCAGATTTTAACTCCAACCTGTGTCACTTGATTTTAACTCCAACCTGTGTCACATTATTACAACTCCAACTTGTTATCGTCACTAAATATTGACAAAAAAACTTAAATAAAAAATCCTGAAACATTGTAATTCATTTTTTTTTACTTAATTTAAAAGAGCTTTTCTTTAATAGATGTTTAGCTACACTTTTTGATATGAATAGAAAGTGTTGAGTATATAACCACCATCTCTCTGAGTGTCACTAGTGTTGTACCCACGGCTTACATTTGTTAGTGTCTCAGTACTTGATGCTGCCATTCTTTAACAGGCCATTGAGGATCTTCAATCTGTGGAGTCAGCATTTTCAGATTTACATCGGCGCTATGAGAAAAGCAAGTCAATTATAGAAGGCTTTAAAAGGGTAAGAGCATAATTATCTGTAGTTTTTAATGGGAGTAACAAGAGGTCATGCACAGAGGTCACTGAGCAGACGTGAGTGAATGTAGCAGACGTGTACCCTTATCCTGGGTGTCATCATACACTTTGTGTTTTAGAATGAAGAACAGCTGAAACAGTGTGTGGAAGATCTTCAGAGTAAATTGAAAAAGGCTGAGAGCAAACTTCAGTCACTACGATCTCAGGCTGAGGAAAAACTAGACAAGTAAGTCACCGACTCATTTTGTTGATGCCTTCACTGACTTATTTCATTGATTAATTCACTGACTTATTTCATTGATGGCTTCACTGACTTATTTCATTGATTAATTCACTGACTTATTTCATTGATGGCTTCACTGACTTATTTCATTGATTAATTCACTGACTTATTTCACTGACTCTTGTAATAAGGCATTTGTTATAAAAATATTTCAGTTAAAATCATTTAGAAACTTACTGTCTATAAAAGTTTAGTTAACACTTATATTTTCTGGATGATCTTTGTTTTCAGGGCAAATGAAGATATTGAGAAAATCAAGAAATCTACAAAGCAGGACGTTGTGCGTTTGGAAGCCGCACTAAAAAAGGCAGAGCTGCGGGTGTCCAGTTTAGAAGAAAGTTTACAAAATAAAGTAAGTTTTGATCTGGGATATTGGATTTTTAAGGCTGTCAATTAGATGAGCACTTAAAACATGTTTGTTTAGGAGGTCGTTCCATTAGCTGCTGTCTAGCATGTTAAAGTTTATTGTCAAGAGACTTAAAAGCAATTTTTCCCTTTAGTATTTACAGTGAAAATATGCACTTAATGAATAGCTGTTTTTACTGTCATAGTTTGAGAAAAATCACTATGTTCAGTTTCTCCAATCAAACCAAAGTGCTCACAACTGACCTGTTCAACCAATTTTCCATTAAACTACCGCAACTTTTATCTGGTGTGTTGGGGTTTAACCAGCTTAAGCAATGCTCGTAACCAAGCAGACAGCAACAGGATTAACAATCAAGCTTTTCTCTCACATTAGCACCGCCTGGTTTTTGGTTAGGGGGAAAATAGGGGGGGGGGGGGGTTGAAACAACCACAAGAGAGACTAGGTGAAATACTTTGTTCAAATGTTTTATATATATATATAACTGCAATGAAAATGTTTATCTTGTTCCTTATGTACTCTATTTGTTTAAACCTGTTGCAGGAAAAAGAAAATCTAGAATTGACAGCAATTTGCGATGAATTGATATCAAAAGTAGGGTCCTAGTGACGCGAGATACCTCGAGTAGGTGACCTCAGGTGCTAGAACCATCTCCCTCAGCACAAACTTGCATTAGTTGGTTGTGGATAAATCATACCATTCTGTTTGAGTGTTGAGTCCAGAGAAGGTAGTTAGGTTCAGTCATGTTGTACAGTGTGGAGTATATGAAAACATTCATAGTTAAGTTCAGTTATGTTGCACAGTGTGAATGAAAACATTCCGTATGAATCGTTTGTCAATCCTCCTCTACTCCTAGCCTAGATCTTTGGGTGTAAACTTGACAGTGAATTTCTTGCATTCTCCTCTATATTCCCTTCTCTAGTCAGGTGATCAGATTCTTGTTTCACATTCTGTCCCACTCAACTAATTGGTATTTTAGTTTTAAATTGTAAATCTACATAATACATGTAAAGATTTACATAATTATTTAAAATTAATTTTAAATGGACTAGATTGGATGTAAGAACTATATAACAATCTTTAATTTATTGTACAATTTTTTTTATTAAATGTATCACAAAATGTGTGTGAATGATGTGATTTTCCTGCTTGCTGTGGTGTATAGTTTGTAATCTAATAGCGTTTCATATTGCCTTATTCAAAATGAATCTTTGTCTTTCCTTGATTCTAATTTAAAGCTCTGTATGTCTGGGACAGTGTCACTTCTGTGATGTCTATATACACTCTTCAAATTGGCTGTGTTATCTGTATAAAAGTTTTTATCTATGAACATACTTGAAACATTTTTAACCCAACTTTGTACCCTTTCATACATCTTGTTTTATACATAAGCAATAGGCTCTCCTTGCTGAGAGTGTTTGAAGAATTAATTAATTTTAAATTATTTACAGCCTATAAATAAAAGAAATCACATATTTCAATATTTTTTGAGGAAGAAAAATGAACTTAGGTCATAAATCAGGGTTTGACTAAACTTGTTTTTTTTTTTATACATTTCATAAAAAATGCTTTTTTATCTTAGAATATTTGATTTGCTAGCATTTGCTTGCCTGAAGAATATGAGTGTACAAATGTTTTGCTAATATCCAATATTTTGTTAAAGCTTTTTAGCTTTACTTGTAAATATCTCACCATAAATGTGTCAGGGTATTTTATTTGCTTATCTGATGTGAAGACATCTCATTTGCACCAACGTAACTTTAGAATCAGCCAGCAGGTTGGGATGGTGCTCAGGATGTTAGAAGCTTTTTATTATCAATATTAGATGTATTGGAAGTGATAAAATAAAAACTGGGTGATAATTATTTACTACAGCCTTTTATCAATAAAATCAAAGCACAAACACTATACTCTGATCCCTTATGTATAATCCAAGCAAAGCACAAATACTATTTCTGGCTCCACATAAACCTGATATTCTACTTGATATCAATCAACATAAATTAAATGTGTTACTGTATCATCATTGAACAAAAACATTTTACTCAATCCCTTCTCCCAATAGCACATTTTAAAATAGACAAGTACCCTCTTACCTTTCCTTATCCCAGAGAATTGATGTCAAACATTGACAGAAAGCTGCTTCCAACATTTGTAAAAAGAAACTTGTGAGATCTATTTCTTCACTTACCTTACTGACTTAAGGCAAATTCCCTAGGTAGTGTTTTGTTGACCACCAGTGAAGGTGATACCATTTTGCTGCTTTATAATGACAACTAATTTAATACATATATGCTTTCAGTTAAAGCCTGTATATTACAATAAAATGTTTTAAGACTTGAGTTGCCTTTTAAGTATATTGTTTGTTAGGCCTGTTTTGTAGAGGCAAGTTCTGTGTGCTATCAGGCCTCATGACTTGTTAGCTTAGGATAGACATCGTGCATGAAGAAAGTAAAATAGTATGACACTATTCATTGCTATTAAAATTGTTAACGCCCAAGTCTAAATTAGCTGTGATGAAAGCCCCTATGGGAAAACAATGCTGAAAAGAAACTCCAATACTTTTGTATAAAATAAGTTTAATACCTTAAAGAAAAACAACTGTAACAAAGTCATCAACTTAAAAACTGAAATGTACAAGGCTGCTGTACATGTTTTATTTACATACACTGGTACAATTCAATCACAAGCAGTAAAAGAAATCATTGAACTTCTTGTACAAAATGCAATAATTATCAGCCAAAATCTTTCAGTTAAGAACATGAAAGAAACAAAATGACAAAAACTGTTAGCAGAAACTGTACCATTTAAAAAGCTTATACATCAAATCAAAAGTTAACAATACTTTAAAGTTTTGTGTTTGTACATTCCTGTAACAGAGAAATGAGTTTCAAAGGCTTAACATGAATTTATCAGAATGTGGAGGAAGTACATATTATATAAATTTGACATTCATTATTTTCACTTTCTTGCCTGGATCAGGCTTGGCACTTGGCGGAGGAGAAACTTTTTGTTTCTTGCTCTTGGGGGAACTAACTTTGTTTTCTAGATTTCTTTTTGGCTTTTCAACTTTATCTCCTTTTTCATCTACTTCATCCTTTATTTCAAAAGGAACATTGTTTATTTTTAGAGTGCTTTTCTTTTTCAATTTCTGCATAGCAGATTCAGAAGAACTTGCACTTTCCTTTAGGATTTGATTTGGGTCATGAAACTTTGGAGGTTCTTTGACAACCACTGATTTGACCACTGCATCCTCACCAATATTTTTATCAACAAATATTTCTGTCACTGTCTTTTTTTCCTGATTGAGATTAAAACCTACATGTTTCTTTTTATGGACCATCTTTGAAACCACTTGAGAAAAATTTCCTTTTGACTTTAAAGAACTGGGTTCACCATCTGGCTTTGTTTTCTTCATCACTGACTTCATCTGGTGGTCGTGCCTGCCTGTGTCAGAGTTGCCTGTGTCAGAGGATGATGGGATATTTTGACACATGTACCTGCTGACTGGTCCTCTCTTTTTAGGCAAACTAACCACAATCTCTGAAGGCTCACTGCTGGGACGATTTTTAGACTTCAATTTTTCCACCATGGGATTTCTCTTTCCTGAAAAAATACTCAACATGTTCAGGGAAGAAAAAAAAAGGAACATTTTTTAAAATAATTTTCAATTAAGGTTAATGACTGAAATAATTACTCTTAATACACCACAAGGTTGTAAAGGCAGTGGAGTGTAGAGCGATGTAGTGAACTTACTTGGTGTATTTACCCGTCCTTCCGATACATCACTGTCGCTGGGAGGATCCCCAACATGCATGCTGTGTAAATATTTTACAGACCCTTGTGTTGACTTCTCTGTAATATTTACAATTGAGTTATCAAACTGATTGTGCTAATTTTTTATTTAAAAAGAAAATGTCAAATTTAGGTGCACGTTTTTTTACTAGATATATTTTATATGCAAGTAAAATCATTGACAGGATCGAGTGAAAAAACTTTAATTTTGCCTAGGATTGTGGAATATAGACAAGAACTCAATCCAAATAGCACAATTAGTATCACAAGTAGCACTAATTAGTCTCACGAAATAATGATCATGCAAATATGCTATTGTATTAGCCTTTACATTACTAAAGATGCAAGTTGACAAAATGATTTATCCCTACAGTAATCACAACAACTTCCAGCTGTGAATCCAACTTCAGACTTTCAATCCTTTGTTTCTATCACAAATATAGAGCTGGTCAACTTTATACAATTATTTTTTAAATTACATTCAGCGTCAAATGTTGATACACTAGAGCAACTTCTCCACTGATAACAAGACAAAAAAAATAATTCTAAATCAAATCATACCTGGGGTTCCTTTGCTCTTATAATGGTTACTGCTATTCCAGCTTTCACTAAAGATCTCAGTTGAAGAAGCAGCATCCACTATAATATTTTGCTTAGCTTTCTTCTCTGTAAATAAAATGAGGCATTTTACTTAAATATCATTGGTGAACATTGGTAAACTCCCTTACAGAACCCAACATTTTACAAAAGGGGAAATCATACCTGGTGTTACTACGCTTTTATGATGTTTACTGCTAGCCCCACCACCACTTGAGTTGTTTGTTGAAGCAGTTTCCACTACAATGTTATGCCTAGGCTTGTTAGTGCCTGAAACATGGCTATAGGCTAGAGCTTTCAGCATCTGCCTCCTTCCTCCTGATGAATCTGTTGAATTTTCCTTTCAATACAGAAAGTAAAAAATGTTTAACCACTGTTGTAATGTTGTGCAACAACTTATTAAAAACAAAATAACACAATTATAAACAGCTGCACAAAACAACTGTATTGTGTTGACTACCTAATTACCTACCTCTGTTGTCTCTGAGGTTGACTCATGATCTTTACGCTGAGAAAAATAAATAAAAATGAATAGAAAATAGATTTTACAGAGAGACTTACAGAATGGATGGGATGGTGTGGTTGGATGGTAGAACACTAAAATGCTAAATCTTAAGTGAGTGATTTGAGTCAGGTAGGTAAAGATGTTTGGGTACACTGCTTTAAATGCAGAGGTAAAATATATCAGATAAGATTTGCTTCATCTGCAGTAGGGAATGTTGGGTCTGAAAGGGTACTTACATTTTTAAGAATAGATGCTGCTTCTTCTTTGTAACTTTGGAGTAAACTGTATATAAAACAAATGTTAACACCAAATGATTTTAGAATAAAATGGGCTAAAGAAGTAGGGAAACTGGGTGATGCAAAATTAATTTAAACTTTTAACAGTTTATAAGATCTCTGGGTAAAGAATATTTAAATGTGACAAATAGCATGTGATAAAAAAAATATATATAGCAAAGACTGTTGAATTAATAAGGAGGAAACATACTCAACAAGTTCGCCAACAAATTCTCCATGCACCACATCCAGAGACTTGTCAGGTTTAGTGGCATTTGGTCCAGCTAAACTAACTTTCATTCTTTGGTACTGATCTTGCAGGTAAGACAATTTCTGTAAAATATACAGCAACACATATTTAGCTGCACCCATAAAACAACAAAGAATTAAAATTAAGGTGTGAGTATAATTTCTCAACTATGTATTGAATTGATAATTGTGATTATCATTTAGCAGTCTATTGACGAAGCTTATTATTGGCTATTATCATAAAAAGATAAAACAATGATCCAATCCAATGATTTATTAGGGTTAGTTTTTTTAAAAAACCTAACAATTTTAGAAACTTGCCTCTATTGACTCATAAACAAATAGTTGATTGACGGAACTGTTTTCTTCTTTCATGTCATCGGCAAGGTCCATCTCATTATCATCACCCTCAATCAAACAGGAGTTAACAACCTAGCATGAAAAATTAATTCAGTGGTATACAAATTTATGTTATAAATATGGAACTTTAAAACGTTTTTAACAAATACAAGTTACTATGCGCTTAATCAAATAAAAATTAAGCAGTATTTAAATCATTTATTACAATACACTTGGTAAATGTATTTTCTTTTATTACTACAACAATTAAACCAAATATTAGTAATTTTTTTAAAGGCTATCATTAGCATTGAGTAAAAAAACAAATATCTTGTTTCTTTTACGGTATTCAGCACTCTGCAACTAAAGATACAACTGTGACAAAAACACTTACCTCAACTGAACTATAACAGAAATGAAAGGCTTGTTCAAAAATAAGTTTGTTGAACACATAAACGACATCCAAGTGGTGCTGCTGAGCTGCCTGTTGCTGGAAGTACACAATATCTTTCCACTGAGAGGAAGTGACGCGAATCTGTGGGAAAACAAAAATATGTAACTGCTGACCAATACCATCATAATTTTAACACCCTGCTGAACACTCAAGCACCCCATAATCCCCTACTCATGTATGTTGTCCAGGCATTCTCTAACATACATATCTTTATTTGGATACTGTGGAAATTAGAAATGTTTTCACTGTCATTTTAAGTTTAAATTGAATTACTGGTTTTAGTTTTATTATTGTTGTGAACTTAGAAAGACCTTTGGCTTGAATGTTTACTGTACTTGTGGTTGTCATTAATTTGTTATGTCTGTTTTTACCATTAAATATAGGTCTATACCTCACTGCAGCTACCATAAACAAACATTATAACATGTCGCTATAGATTCCGCTAAAAATATAAAAAAAAAGAAAAAAACTAAATCTCATATTTCCATATATAAGCCATATTTCAAATGATTTATTTTAAAAAATATTTCTGGAGCTTACCCTAACTTTTGGAAGAAGTGGCTGTATCTGAAAGATGCCATACAACAAATACAGGCCACCCACACGAACTTGAAATTGAAATGGTGGCAAAAAATACTCTTGAGCAACCAAAAGGATTTTCTCAATAAACTGAAATAAAAGATTGTTAGGTCTAATACAAATTAGTAGAAAACATTGAGCTTTAACTAAAAGTAATGTAGATGTACATCATGAAACTAGATGGTCCACTCTGGTTTGTTGATTTGTTTTTAACTTAGAAATTTTTAAATTAATCATAATTTTATTATAAGGCTGCTTCTAGCCAGAATGATAAAAAGATGTGCAAAATGTTTATAAAACAGCGCCACAGTAGCCTGGTTTTTCTTGTCATCTAAATGTATGATGTTTAGGCCTATGTGTTGCTTGAATGGGGCAGGGATTAGCACAATAAAAACTTAAATGATTGATTTAAATAGGCTATTAAAATAGATTTTAACTTTACTTACAAACTAGAACTCTTATATAACTATACTATATATTATGACGTGGCCTAGCGGTAGAGCACTAGACTGCTAACCAGGAAGTCTTGAGTTTGAATCTGGGTTCAAGTCAGTGGAACGCCCCTGAGTTCACCCAGCTCTGATGGGTACCTAACTTACGTTTGGAAAAGTAAAGGCAGATGGACATTGTGCATGCTGACTACATAATCCCTTTATTTGCCAAGGTGAAGAAACATTAAAGCTCTACTTCATCTGGTATCGCTAGGTCTAAAGAGGAATCTTTACTTTTTTTATATTGTATATTAATATTATAATATATCATCCTGGTATTGAACCCTCAACCCCTGATGATCCATCCAAAATGCAATTGTGTGGTCACACAGAGTAGATAGTTTTGTCAGAAGAATATGGTAATTTGAGCCAGTTGCACAGCTATTAATTAAGTGTAATTTTAGCCCATCATTGTGCAGCTATTATGGTCATTGTGATTCGCACCTTCTGCCAGCCAGCCTATTTTTTAGTTTTCTATTATTAGTAATAATAGGCCTATTAGAAATTATTGTAAATTAATTGATCTAGCTAGTCAGTGTAATAGTACTAGTCAGCTGCATAATGATTAGGCCAAATAATTTATGTTATGCTTCTATACATAAAACTAGATTTTTTTTTAGATGTAGAAATCTAGATCTACCTCTCTTGTTTCGCGGTCTGAGCATCTTCCAGCACACAAAAATGACATGTTCTTGGATCGCCAAATTTCACTGAATGCTTCATAACGAACTGTTTTAAGTTCCAAAAAACTGTTTATAAGGCGCTTGAAGTCTGTTCTTATGCCTGCAATAGGCTGATAAAATCTAGTATATGATTTTCGTGACATTTTTTAATTGTAGAATTTTATTTTTATCAGTTGAACTCTTCCACTTTTTATACGGTATTATGTCATTATAATTTAGAATCTATAATAAGGGTTACACAAAACAGTTAAAGGCCTAACTATAACTACTACATTAACTAGATATAGATCTAGATTCTAGAAGATGTGGGTCTAAATTCTAGATTTCTAGACTCTAGATCTAAAGAAGTCTACTTCTGTAGTTCTGTGTTGAGTTTTGTACATAGTCTATTGCCAGATCAAATTAACCAAAATACATTTAAAATATTTTGAGGAAAGAAGTATTTGTTTATTGTGTTAAATTTTTAGAAAAAAAACTTAATAGTCTAAAGTATCAGCAAAAATTATCAGTATTTTTGTGGATCTTGTGATTTTTTCTGTGGTTGAGCAATCTCAAATTTTTAAAGCCTTTTTCATTTTAAGTAAATCTAAACAATTTGGCTAGTTCCAATAAGAACTCGTCTTAAATTTTATATTTATGATAAAAGTGCCAATCTGACAACTCAGTCGATTATAAAAACGTTTGTTCGTCGTTTTACTGGGGTATTTTAAATAATGAAAATAAGTAACAAAACTTGACCATCCACCACGCACACACAGAACCACTAACCGCCAGAGGTGTAGCAAGGGCGGGGCGGGGGTGCTGACCGCACCGTGTGACACCATTTAGGGGGGTGACACCAAGGCAAATAATTGCAAAATGTACAAAAGAAAAATGATTTTGGCCAGTTCCATTCATGATTTATTAAAGTTAAATAGTCTTTTAAGTACAAACGACAATTATTACAAGAGGGTGGGGGTGACACCCTGACGTAAGCTATAGAGAAGGCAATACTACATCTAACTGTATTATTAACAGACTATAGATTTACATCGTTACTATTAAGTCTGCAGTGATTAGAGCTAATACACACAGATAGATATATACACACACAAATAGATCTACACATTTCATAAAACGATTACAGATTTAGACCTATGTTATAAATAATGACATGTTGATCTAGATCTAGATTCTGAAAGATATTTTGAAATTTTAGTTGATTTTACGACAGTTTGATATTTCCGGGGGTGGGGGGAGATACATACTGATAAAAGTATATATTTTCTATATAAATTCCATTTCGTTCAATTTTTTCGCTGTTGCGTAGAAAAATGTTTTTAAAATATAAATGAGATGTTTTCACTACTTCCATGACTTATCGCCCTTCTTTAAATAGTCTAATAGGGGGTTACCATAAATTAATTTTAATAGTTTTGAATTAAGTAAATTAAAAAGCAATTGCACCTCTTAATTATTATTCAAATAAGAAATAATAAAGAATAGCACAGTTATGAAAAAAAATGCCTTCAACATTAATAATACAAAAAATCTTAAAAATAAACATAACGCAAGAAACCATCACACAAATCATGCTTACGTGTTTATATATTTTTGACCGTCTTTCCCGGCATTAAATATTTCAATGAAAAAATTTGAAATGATATTAAAATGAGTCAAGCAAAGCTAAAACAGACTATGAACTCTCACCTAAATAAAAAAAAATTAAAATAAAGTATTTATATTAAATTAATTAAGACAGTCTCAAGCTAAACATCACTTAATAGTCCTCGAGTAAATTAACGTTAGAACAGTGGTCGGCAACCTGCGGCTCGCGTGCCGCATGCGTCTCCTTTGATGCCGAGATGCGGCTCTCCAGCTCCTTGCACAAATAATAATTTCATTTTTACTGGACGGTGGGGCACAAGTTTACCCTGCGTTCAGTGGGATGGATAATAATAAGCCTGGTGAGAACCAAAGGATAGAAGCGAACGATGCAAGTTATTCAAACTGATATCTAAGCCAGTTAGTCAGCGTTTGCCGTGTTGAGGCCTGACTGGCTAATGGTAGACACCTCCTGAACCGGTGATGTCAGTAAAAAAAAAAATATTTATAACTTCTAAAGCGGATTGGGATAGTCCTGTAGTTTTATTATTTAATTACAAATTTTATTATTCTGGTGAAACACGTATATGTTTTTATATGAATAAATATTATTTCATATTTAAAGCTATTTATTTTAAACAACAAATCAAATTGATTTACTTAATTCTAACCAAATACCAAATATTGAATTAAAAATGTTAGTGGCTCTTTAAAAAATGGGAAATTTTGTTAATTGTATCTTTTGGCTCTTCCGTCTCAAAAGGTTGCCGACCCCTGCGTTAGAACAGTCCTTGGGTTTCTCAGGTTTTAAAGGGGCACAATCTAAATCAGGGGTCTCCAAACTACGGCCCGCGGGCCGGATGCGGCCCGCGAGGTCCTCTCATCCGGCCCTCGGAGATATTTTTGTCCACGGAAAAAAATGTTTGTTGTAGGTGGCTTTGGAAAAATGCCACCCCAATGATATACCTAAAAAGAAACTCTGGCCCCCGAACTTGCGGCCCTCGGGCTGAAAAGTTTGGAGACCCCTGATCTAAATGATACACATCTCCCAGACACCCCCCCCCCTCCCCCCGGCGGATAGATCGAAAGAAACGTATGCTCATCGCCCTGGGGCGATTTTGTGTCATGGAAAATTTTGGAATGATAGATCAGTATGAGTATTACAGAGACCCTTTTCCCACAGTCAGTGGCGTAGGCAGGGGGGTCACAACCCCCCCCCCTGTAAATAAAATGTACTGTCATAATACCACTATTACTTATTTAAATCTATTTCTGAATCAGTGTATTTGTATGTTTAGAACAGTCATCTCAAAACTGATGCTTTGTTCACTCTGAGTTTGCCTCCCCCCCCCCCCCCCCAGAGTTTCTTCCAGGCATTTCTACGGTGGGGGGGGAAGGCATACACTTTTACTAGTGTCGCGCCCCCCCCCCTCCGAAAAATGTTGACCATCCACCCGAAAATATCAAATCCCCCCCCCCCCCCAAAGTCTGGAAGAAATACTGCCCGCCCCCCCCACCTCAAATGGGACAGGCCTTAATTGTGTAGAGCGATATTATATCACACCTAGGTATACGCTGGGTAGGATAGTTGACCTAAAGTGACTGGACAGTGATGAATGAAGTATGTCCCCCCCATTTCATTTAGTTTATTGTTAGATTGAAAAGCTTGATTTTATACCAACTTTTCAAAAAATTTCATTATGCTGTAATATTTTAGTATTTATGATGACAATATATTTAATTCTGATTATAGACAAGATATTTTGTGTAAAAAAACAAATAATATTAAGCTACTATATTACATACTAAAGTAATTATTGATCTGTTTAACAATTAAATTTGTAGAAATACACATTTATATTAAGAGAATGATTATTTCCCTTAGTTTGCCTGTCTTAATATTCTAGGAATCATTATGTCAAATTGTCTTTTTTACAAGGATTACACAACAGATTGTGTTGCGTTCATTTTTTTTTTTGTTGTATTGTGTTATATTTTGTTTTATGTTTAGACTTAGAGTGATAAATTGTTTTGTTTTGTCGGCCTACATTGTGTGTTTTTTCTTATTTCTTCAGATACTCCACTAATAAATAAGTTAAATAATTTAGTTGATTTAGGCTATACAATAATGGCATTAATATATTGAAAAAAGAACAACAAATAATCAAAGACTAAAAAATAAGCTTTAATTTTGCTTTCAGCTACATCAAAGGTGGACACTGATAATAAAATACATTCATAAGGATTATTTTGACCCCAACCCCAAGTGGACATCATAAATAGGTGACCCCTTGACTAAGTCAAAAAACATAACAGTAGCAGATAGCAATTACTGTTTTTAAAGATAAATTGGTACAAAAGGGTCAATAAACTTTTCTGGAAAAAAAATAACGTCCTTTCCCAATAGAATAAGTGATTACAAAGCGTTAATTTAAAATTGAATTATATGCATACCAAACAGTAGGTCACATAGTTTCAAAATGACCACATACAGAAAAGAATAACCATATCTATATGTGTCTGAAAAGGCACATACCAGGAGTTTGTATACAATAAAATTCTGAAATATATTTTCAAAATTTAAATGCTGGTTATCATATAGGTCTTCACAAACATAACATTCTTGTGCTTGTATAGAATTATTTTAAAAAGAAAAAAATAATACAATTCTTATTCTATTGCACTTCTGTCAAATGCAATGATAAAATGTTTTGATATTTTTAGAATTTTTTAAAAGTTGCCAGGTCTATGGTGTAGGATAAACCTAAAAACTATTTTTGGTGGTGAAATAACTTAAATATTCATTTACAGTTATAGTCAATATCATTGTTAGAGTTAACATAACCAATTTTGATATTTCCCAATTAAGCCTGAAACTACTAACATCAGCGCAATACTAAGAAACAATACTAAGAATGTTTATATACCACCTAATCAAAACCTTGCCCTATGAAAAGAACTATTTATCTGTTGCTGGCATATTAGGAAAGTACCCTAATAAAAAATTATTAAGCCTGTGGTGATTATTTGAACAGAAAATGTGTGGATCCAGAACAAATCTGAAACAAATTTTTAATAATAGAAATAAAATCCTAATCTGAAACCACATTCCCGTGTAACATACTAGGATCAGTACAATTAATGGTACATTATCTCTAGCAGAAATAGCAAACATTTTAGTATGGCAAAGTAAAAAGTACCTAATTATCACTTTAATTGTATGTACAGCAGCTGAACATTTTAAACTATCATCCATTTCACACAAAATTAAAGCTTAAATTACATTGTCTAGTATTTCAGGCTTTTGATTTCTTCTTCAACTTTTTAGAAGATTTAGCATGTGATGTTAATGGCACCTTTTTACGCTTTTTTGTCTGCACTACCTCCATTGCGTCCCAAAGAGCATCATCTTTGTCATCATCTGACAAAGATTTTTCATCATCATTTGTTTCTGAAAAAATCTTAGATCCTTTACTATGTGCTTTCTTTGTACCTGTAGTTTCAATACCAAATTCCTCATTGTAATCAATATTCCATTCAGATGAAAATAACAAAGAGTTAACTTGAGAATGAATATATATTGAACTGCATTTTCTTTTACTGAGATCAGCATTATAACATCTGATGAACCTATCTACTCCACATGCAGCAAACACAGGATGTGTTTCATGGAATTTTATATCTGTAATGCCTCCAGCAGCTCCTTTGAATTGCTTTATTGCAGCCATTTTACGCAAGTCTACTAAAGAAATTGTTCCGATTGTTGTGCCTACAACAACTTGTGAGTCTGTATGTGGTCGAATTGCTAATGCTGAAATTGGTTCCCTACTGTCTTTTAATTTTATATCCAATACAGGCCTTCTCTTTGAAGAGGACATATCATACAAGCGAATTTGTGAATAACCTGTTCCTGTAACAATCTTTTTACTCTGTGGGATAAATTCAGCTTTCATTTCCCAAACTGGCACTCGTAAATTTAGCCAGTCATTTTTCACATTTTTAGCTGTAAAAATTGGTTGAGTAGAACTTGTCAAATCCCATATTTTTAATGGGTTTTCTTTCCCTCCAGTAGAAATCAGATTTTCAAAAGATTGATTATGGTCCATACAAAATAAATTGTCTCCAGCACAAATGTTAATTGATCTACTTGAAATTGATTTGTCTTGATTTGCGGAATCATCTTCCAGCTGAATGAGCTGATCACAATTTACTACCCCACTGCTAAATGCTGTAAAAACCGAGCCCTTGTAACTTTTAACCACTCGTAAAACAGATTTATCATCTGGTATTTTAGTACAAAGACTGCTGATGCTTCCATCTTTCAAAGAATAGTTGAGAATTCTACCGTCTCTACAACCAGTCAAAATCGAATTTTCATCTCTCCACCAACACATGGAGGTAATCTCATTGTTTTTATCCGGGTCTTTAACAGAATTTATATTAACACACGTTCTATTTGAAAGCATACATCCCTTTAGAAAGCCTGTATTGGTTCCAGCATATATATTGTAAGGAAATGTATCAGGGGATGCAGAAAATCTATTTCCATAAACTGATTCCATGTCGTGATCTGCCGTCATGGGTGCAGACATTTTGTTTATTTGTACCACATTGCCAGATCAAATTTTGAAAGTAAATGCTAAAGAGCTGTTAGCGTGTGTTTTTCGGGTCAACGTAGGGAATCCAGTTTATTTCAGTCATCTTTTTTTTTTTGCTGTCAGCTTCAAGTGCTGCCCCAGGAAAATGTCGGAAAGAAACCCTGATAGAATCTAAATAAATAAAATTAATGTAGCTCCAGTGAGAAGTTGCCCATATCTTGAAAAAGAAAACAAAGTCCCTTACAAGCAAGCAAAAAGAAATTTTCTATTATTTTATGTCACAACTGTGCACTCTGAGGCATGTAAATTTTAAAAATTGTGTACTTTATTTTTATAATAGCTGGTTAGTTTTGATATCTTTGTGGAGTTACATACTGAGTCACATGACCAAAATATTGCCAGGTTGGCTGGACATGGATAAATCTACACTTACTTCTAAAATCAACGTGTTGCTCATGTGACATGTACAGATATCATCTCTCCAGAAACAAAACACCTGGCCAAATTTCTAAGGAATAACTCATAAATATCTCTTACAGTTATAGGAGAAAAGATATCACAAGCCTGATGGACTGACCTGGTGTTATTGTAATCAAAGTGAATGTGATTCAGAAGGTTGATGAATCTCTTAATAGAAAATTGAATCATTAGTGTCTGTCCAGAAAAAAACAACTTCCAAGTAATGAAGTAGCCTCCCCCCCCCCCCCCCCATACATGTTCCAACAAAAAGATTTTATGATAAAGTTTTTGTTTTCTAGATGTGTATAGTACACATGTTGTAAGTGTAATTGCAGTGTCAGGATCACAATCTGTAGAATATCCATCCCATCCTTGGTTTTATCAATTAATTACCAAGAAAGAGTACAAATTAATATTACAATTATGTGTCCTCCCACAAGTATCGTTCACTCTAACTGGTGCATACCATTAACATGAATCATCTTGCAGCTCTCCCATAAGACAGATGGGTTTACCCTGGCCATCCTGGCCGGAATACTTTAAACTGTGTCAGAAAAATGAAATTCATTGGCTATAAGCATATGCTGCTGGATATTTTTGTAACAAGCCAGTGGTCACAGCTATTTCCAGAGGCTAAACAAACCTCTTTAACATCAGCAGAATTGATGCCCATGATATAAACACAGCACTTTCCTTCAGTTTGAACAATAATGTTAATGGCAGTTTTAAGCTTGAGCAAAATTCCACCAGTTACATCATGAGCACTTTGTGAAGCAGCAATACTTGATGATATTTCACCATTAGGATTCACTTTTATGCTTTTTATTAACACAGCACCTAAAAAATTATATAAATGTTTTTAATTTTTTTATTTCAAAGTTATTCTAGAACTGAAACATAATTATTAGGAAGAAAATCATCATCATCATTCCTATGGACCATTTTACTCAGAAGATAAGGCACTCTTTTTAAAAATTCAATTCTTAAGGATTTTAAAAAAGGTGAATTTTTAAAACTCAATTAATAGCTTTAAATGTTTATTTTTTAATATAAGAAGGTAAAAGATAATACATTTTACAGCCAAAAAAAGTAATACCTGGTTGATCTGGTGGTCTGTCATATATACCAGCAACATCTGTCAAAAATATTACTTTTTTAACTGCCAATTTGGAACATAATGTCTGAGGATAAAGTTAACAAATGTATTGAAATCATTATCTTATTTATGACAGATAAAAGTGAACAAGGGTACATAAATCAATTTTAAAATACACTAAAAGAGATCAGCTTATAAAACAAAGCCATCTTGTTATAGAGCTCACCTTGATGACTGTGTCACCACTAAGAATACAACAGCCTAATTTATCATCCAGACTGCAGTCTCCATGTAAAACAGGGACTAGGCCTGTATTCACAAACCCAGCTATAACTTCACATGGGCTGTGCAACGGTTCTCTGTTACTTGTTATCCAGGAGCTGCCTGGCTTAAAGAAAAATTTACAATTTTATTTAAATGTTGTATCTACTTCCGAAATGACCTAAGTTAGGGCCCTGCTAGCTTGAACTCATTTTGTATGGTAAAAATATTCAAAACATTTACTAAAAACCCAGTATTTGATATTAAGTAGAAAATGTTTACCGAACATGCTACTGCAGGTACTCCAGATTGCAACAAGCTGTCAACAACCATTTGATTGAGCTGTTAATAATTAAAAAGTTGCTGTAGGCCTAACATATATATTTTTTAGCTCTTTTCTCAAAGTATTTACATAAATTTTTGTTAAGAATAAAATTTAAAATTAGCAATTTAAATCATGAATTACCTTAGTAACTGACTGTCTAGTCAAACAATAGCCCCTAACTTTTAAAGAACTGTCTTCTTTTGTTTTTAAATCAGTTAGTCCTGTGTTAACTTCGTATTGTTTTGCTTGATGATGACCAAACGACCTTGAAAATTATGTACAATATTTTATTTTCAATACACTCCAATACACATTATGTTGTTTAAGTGATTAAAGAATAATGTTATAAGATGTAAACTTGCTGAAAATATACTAACCCAGCACCATGAACAACAATGCATTTAAGTCCATGATCTGTGCAGGTTTTGATACATTGAGCTGCGATTGAGAGTTCATGGCTTTTTATGGTTTCAAAGATATTTTTGTCTGTTATAGCACTTCCACCAAACTTGATAATAATGTCAACTTCCATATTTATTATTTAGCATCCCTGAATAGGTGCATCAGTTTAAAAAAAAAATTGTATAAATTATTGATGGAATAGCTTTATTTTTGTGTTGACTAGCTTTATAATAATAATAGCCTTTAGCCAACTATTAACTATACTATATTATTAGTAGGCCTATTATTAATTATAAAATAATTCCTCTGGATACTTTTTTTAGGAAAACTCTACACGTACTAAGCTAACTTAGGCAAGGTAATACAAATTAGGATGATTTTATTGGAACAATTAGGCCTATGTCAATTTAAAATTTCTGTTAGAATTTTTTTTTTCATAACTTGATATTAACAACATGAACAAAATTATATTAAATATTTAAATACTAGTAAGCTAGAAAGCCGTGCAAAAGATGATTCCCTGGCAATAATAAAGCGAGTCAACAAAGTCACTGGGGAACACACTTTATTTTATTGTTTTATATTTTTACTTTATTATTGACTTATTTAGGCCTAATTAATAAAAGCCTTGAAAAGCTGTTTTTACAGGTCTAAATCTACATTAAAGTTTTACAGTCAGCATGAGAGTGACTAAAAAACGGGAAAAAGTACCAGATAGGCCTAGTAACCTAGTTTATCATTAACTAAGAAAAATTGTTTATTATTAATATTATGGGGACTGCTAGACTAAGTTTTCAGATGAGAATTGTAGAGTTAGCAGTTTAAAATAATAAAATTCAACTAACCGATCATTTACCAATTTGCCACATTGGCAATTTACTTTTTTTTAGTCTCTTATGCATTCTGATTTATTTATTTTTGCATGGTCTTACAAGGGTCACAATAATTTTGTGCTTTTGAACAAAAATTATAACTCATTTTCGACCAATTCCTGCCGAAGCGATTTCTGAAAAACTTTTATCTACTAGAACAGTGCACTAGAAATGACTTTTCTCCACCAAATTAAAAGATCGATATAAAGTTTTCAATTTTAAAAGTCTTATTCATATTCATTTTGTTTTCAATCCACTTCCCGCCTTTTTTTTCATAAACATACATATTAAGAGGGTCTATTTTAATTAACTAAATAACAACATGCTTGTAGATATGCAGTGTTTCTTCCAGACATTTTTCTCCGGGGGGGGGGGGGGGAACACTTGATATTTTCGGGGGGGGGGGGGGGCGGTCAACATTTTTCGGGGGTGGGGTGGACAGTGGTAAAAGTATATGTTGTCTATATAAATTCCATTTCGTTCGGGGGGGGGGGGGGGGGGGAGCGGTAGACTTTCTTCGGGTGGACTCTGCCCCCCCCCCCCCCCTGAAGAGATGCCTGGAAGAAACCCTGCCTATATGTTCTACACTTTCATAAATACGAGTATTATGGTGTAAAAAGTGGTGCCGACTTCTGGCTTCAGGTATAATCGGCTTGGACACAAACTGGTAGCCTACTGGAGCCTACTATAGCTCATAGGGATATTTGTTGTGTTTAAAAGTACGTCTAAAGCTTCTTTATCTCAAATTGCCACCAAAGGTAATAACAAAGTCTTCCTTTTGGCTTGAGCCCAATAAACCATTTGTCCTTCACTTTCCTCCGTTGTTGAACTTGTTTAGGCCACATTAATGCCAATAATGAATCAACGCTAGCGCTGTTAAAGTACATCATCGCATCTCTGCCATTACCCGTGTGGCATTCCTCGCAGAGGCGCAGCGACCCTTCCCGGCGCCCGGGGACAAACTTTCGATTTGCACCCCCCTCAAGATTTCGATTTGCAGCCCCCCCCCCACCAAGATTTTGATTTGCACCCCCCCCCCCTCAAGATTTCGATTTGCACCCCCCCCCCCCCCGTCAAACTTTCGATTTGCACCCCCCCTCAAGCTTTCATTTTTATTTTTCCAACCCATTTTAGCGCCCCCTAAGAAAACTCAAATAAAAGTAACAAAGAAGGCGACATGGCCTACTGCATACAACTATATATATATATATATATATATATATATATATATATATATATATATATATATATATATATATATATATATATATATATATATATATATATATATACACATCACCTTCAACTAATAGGCCAATATCTGGTAGATTTTCAAGAACTACACATAATAGATGAAAAGGGCCACTAACAAAAATGCCCTGATTTATAATGCGTAGACAGGGTGGAATGGAGGAGATTTGTTGCTGCCCTATACTCCACAGGGAGTGATGAGGATTAAGTAAGTAAGTAATGTGTGGTTTAATGTGGATATATGTTATGTAGACCGCAAAAAAAAAGACATTATCATGTATAGCAAGAAGTGATGTTCACGCGCCACATTCAACAAGGTGACACAATGAGCTATTCTACATTAAAACAACATGTACTTTGACCGTCGAGTGTCGCTTATATATTTTACACTCCACCATTTAAAATAAATATTCAAAGACATTACAAGTGGCCTTAAATGGCACTATTTTACACAACATGCTAAATGCTGCCTATTTTCCTCACTTGTTTTAGTTTACATCAACCCTTTACATACTTCAACCTAAAAATAAACGTTCTATGGAAATTCACAAATCAAGTTAATTGTTATGTTATAGCAATTAGACCTAGATCTAGTTTAAAAAAATAATTAAAAATGCAAGTGTTTTTTTTAACAATTAGTCGCATCTGTCTTTATGACTTTATTTACACATTTTTATGTGCTGCGTAGTGCTATTATTTTTCCTCTTGAGATTATTTAGATAAACACAATGCGGAGGTCAAGTTAGATAATTCTCCTTTACCCCCCATCCCCCGCTTTACCCCCTACTTTCCTATCTACCCAGGCAACTGGGTAAGAAGAAAAAAAACTCAAGGGAGATAACACTCCGAGTTGGTCTGTAGGAAACTGCTGGCCCTCGCACAACAGCTCGAGGTTTGCTTTCCTTACAGCACACACAATCTTGTGATAAAGGTAATGCTGACTCTTTTTACTTTCTTTGAAAAAATGAAAAATTCATAAATGCATATAGAATCTAGATCTATTCCAACTTTTGATTGTCTTTTTCTTGAAGGCTCTTGTCTTATCGGGTTAGTGGAAAATTCACTTTGTTGTACATATAAGGCATTTTTTTAATGTTAAGCGTTGCAAATCAATAAAAGCCAATTAATGCGTTAGCTAATTTCACTAAAACACAACTTGCGTTAGTTTACACGTAGCTCAGCTGGCCAAACTGTGGCCATCTAGTCCATCTTAGTTTGAGGCCATCTGGTCCAAATTAGTTTATGGCCATCGAATCCAGCTTAGTTTGAGGCCATTTAGTCCTGCTTAGTCTGAGGCCATGTAGCCAAACTTAGTTAGTGGCCTAGTTTAGCTTAGTTTGTGGCCATTTGCACAACTTAGTTTATGGCCATCTGTCCCAACTTTGTGGCCATCTAGTCAAGGCTAGTTTTTCCCACTAAGTTTATGGCCACCTAGCCCAGCTTAAAACTTGGACTCGGCACGTTCATATTTTCCCTCCCACAGAAGTCGGTCACCATTTATATTCTCTCTCCTAGAGCCGTGACATGAAAACATGGCAACTTATCTATATAGGGCAGGCACATTTCTCCGCCTGCTTCATTAAAACCTTATGTTACAAGTTTAAACCTGGAGCTAACATGCTCGGCCTACATAGCTAGCATTTTATAGGATGGGAGAGGGGGGGGGGGAGGATCTGGCACAGTGTGACATATGGGGAGGAATGTGGTATATAGGGGGGGGCAATTTGGCACTGACCGCGTCACGACGCTGACTCCACACCTCGATGCTGACTCCCTACTACGACGCTGACTCTTCGTGTTTATACTGACTCCCAGGAAAACCTTTGACTCCCTACAACGACGCTGACTCTCCGTGTTTAGACTGACTACCAGGAACAACGCTGACTCCCGTGACGACGCTAACTCCCTGACATGATGCTGCTCCATGTTTACATACAGATAATGTTGAGCTCACGTGACCACATGTTGACAACACTACTCTACTGTCCTGACAACAGCAAGTGGGGGGGGGGGGGGGTAGCGTTGTTTTAAACAGACAGGATCATGGTTACAGCCAGTGGAGGGGGGGGGGGGAGGATAAGGTTGTTTTAAACATACAGACAGGAACATGATGGAATGGAATCTACCACCAAACTCTCACCCTCTCCACACTGCTTTAAGGAACCTCCTCGGGCCCGGGGTGGGCAGAGTCGTCCCCCCCCCCCTCCCAGAACACGCCCACTACGCTCACCCCCTCCCCGGGACGAAATAGATTTTTTTAATTTAAAAAGAAACCATGTATCTATTTCACCGGTGCCCGCCCCACGCCTGAAATTTAAATGCCCCACCTCTCCCCTAAATTTTCAAGTCGTCCCCCCCCCCCCCCCCCGAGAAAAAAAACGTCTAATATCTGAAACCAACCGTTTCCCTATGTTGTATGAGATAAAGCAGAAAAGAAAACAGAAAGAGAAACACTAAGGACATTTGTGGCCGTCATTAAAAAGTTCTTCATTTAGGCAAAACTACCTGCACCCCCTCAATTTATGCTGCTCATTTATTAGGATAAAGTCCGACCTTCTTGACTGTTTCTCGTCCAATTAAATTCGGATGTAATTTTCCACTGGTCGACCGTCAGAGTATCTCTGGCCTCTTCTGGGAGTATCTCTGGGAGTATCTCTGGCCTCTTCTGGGAGTATCTCTGGCCACTTCTGGGAGTATCTCTAGCCTCTTCTGGGAGTATCTCTGGGAGTATCTCTGGCCTCTTCTGGGAGTATCTCTGGCCACTTCTGGGAATATCGCTAGCCTCTTCTGGGAGTATCTCTGGGAGTATCTCTGGCCACTTCTGGGAGTATCTCTGGCCTCTTCTGGGAGTATCTCTGGCCTCTTCTGGGAGTATCTCTGGGAGTATCTCTGGCCTCTTCTGGGAGTATCTCTGGCCACTTCTGGGAGTATCTCTAGCCTCTTCTGGGAGTATCTCTGGGAGTATCTCTGGCCTCTTCTGGGAGTATCTCTGGCCACTTCTGGGAATATCGCTAGCCTCTTCTGGGAGTATCTCTGGGAGTATCTCTGGCCTCTTCTGGGAGTATCTCTGGCCTCTTCTGGGAGTATCGCTAGCCTCTTCTGGGAGTATCTCTAGCCTCTTCTGGGAGTATCTCTGGCCACTTCTGGGAGTATCTCTGGCCTCTTCTGGGAGTATCTCTGGGAGTATATCTGTCCTCTTCTGGGAGTATCACTGGCCTCTTCTGGGAGTATCTTTGGCCACTTCTGGGAGTATCGCTAGCCTCTTTTGGGAGTATCTCTGGCCACTTCTGGGAGTATCTCTAGCCTCTTCTGGGAGTATCTCTGTCCTCTTCTGGGAGTATCTCTGGCCTCTTCTGGGAGTATCTCTGGCTACTTCTGGGAGTATCTCTGGCCTCTTCTGTGAGTATCGCTAGCCTGAGAGTATCCCTGGGCTGTGCTGGGGCTTATCGGCCAAACTTATCTGTTACACTTAGAGCATTTCAACGACCTCAACATTCTAAAGATAGTGAGAAATGGCCCCAGGTCTTTCTAAAATACGGCTCAGCGTGTAAAAGAGGTAGTGCACTCACAGAAGTGCTTTACACACACACACACGCACAAACACACACACGTGGTCCACACACGTAGTAATGATCCACACATACACTAATGGTCCACAAACACAAAAGTAGTCTTCACACAGAAATGGGCCACACACACACAAGATCATCGGAGTGTGTTCCCATACGCTTACTTATCTAGCGTTCCATTTTGTTGACACGAAGCACGTGAAAGCACACGTTAATGACCTACGACGTTTATCGAGGCATAAAAACATTTTATTTTACTTAAAGAGGCCACTTTAGGGATAGATATATGACGATCATTAAGCGTTTGTTTTCTATGGGATGTGGTGCATAATCTTGGTGTATTCTTTTCAAAGTTTCAAAACAATAAAAAGCGCCAGTAGTAAAGTAAACAGATATTTGAGGAGCAAACGATGAAAAGCAATAAATACAGAATTTGTTTAACGGTTAATTAATGTGTTGATAGTAAAGTGCGAAAATTAAAAAGGTGTAAATAGACATAAGACAGGCCAATAGCAAAGTGGAAATACTTGAGAAAATATGAAAATGTAAATATTTATGATAAGAAATGTGTAAATAGATGTGAAAATTAAAAATGTAAATCTCTATGAAAACAAAAATGATAATAAAATGAAAATATGCGTGAAGATATTTTTCTTTTCCATGACTTATCCATGACTTATCCATGACTTAGCAAGCGCAGACGTGATTTGACTCGACCAGATGAGTCAGACCTTGTTGACGTCTGCAGGGTCAAGTAGCGGGAGATATGTTTTCTATCCTGCTATTGTTTGCCGCTCTAAGATAGGGGCAGTTGTCTTGCTGTAAAAGTTAATCGTGTGTTGATAAATATTTTCTCTGCTGTTGTATTAGTTAACTTGTCACATCTCTTCTGTAGTAACCCAACCAACGGTTCAACCATGGACAAGACCGCCAAGGTACGGCGCCAGGTGGGACTGTGGAGATCAGTGTCAGCCATACTTGCTTTACTCATCATCGGCCTCATCATCGTTGTCGTCGTATTGTCCGTCAGAGAATCCCACGACAGCGCCGAAACTTGCGGGACATCAAGAATTTCCCAGAAAAACGGAAACGTCATTGACCTTAGTGAACCAGACAAGCCCGGACCTTTTCATGACCTCACAAAACTGGAGATCCGAAATCTGAGAGCGTTTTTAGAAAAGGACCCTAACATTCGGGTACAACCGTCTGCCAGCGTGAAGATCAATATGAGCATGTTGTACACGATGGATTTGTTCCCGGCACCCAAGGCTGACGTGCTGAACTACCTGGATAAGGAGGGACCCCAGCCCAACCGTCAGGCCCGTGTTATGGTGTACCGAGGGGACCTGGACCCCCCATATGTGTACGAGTATGCGTGCGGGCCTCTCCCCGAGGTGAGGGAATGCAAGCCCATCATGTCAGACAAACGTAGGAACCCTGTCGAGTTCTCGCTCAGGCCTGTCAGTGCTATAGAGTACGCTGCGGTCTTCGATGTGGTCCTCAGGGAGGTGGATGACAAGGTCAGTGGTCATTTTGTGGGGGTGGGTCAGAGGTCAATTGATGAGGTGGGTCAGAGGTCATTTGTTGGGGTGTGTCAGTGGTCATTTGTTGAGGTGGGTCAGAGGTCATGTGTTGGGGCGGGTCAGAGGTCATTTGTTGAGGTGGGTCAGAGGTCATTTGTTGGGGTGTGTCAGTGGTCATTTAGTGAAGTGGTTCAGAGTTCAGTGTACATTTGTTGGGGCGGGTCAGAGGTCATTTGTTGAGGTGGGTCAGAGGTCATTTGTTGGGGTGTGTCAGTGGTCATTTGTTGAGGTGGGTCAGAGGTCATTTGTTGGGGCGGGTCAGAGGTCATTTGTTGAGGTGGGTCAGAGGTCATTTGTTGGGGTGTGTCAGTGGTCATTTAGTGAAGTGGTTTAGAGTTCAGTGTACATTTGTTGGGGCGGGTCAGAGGTCATTTGTTGGGGGTGGGTCAGAGGTCATTAGTTGAGATGGTTCAGAGTTCAGGTGTCATTCTTTTTACTTCATGGTGTAGCAAATATACTAATCATCTGTTTAGTTGGTAAGGTGGGTGAAAAGATCAGTGTTAATTTATCTGCTCGGGCTGATAATTTTAAGTTCACAATTTTAAAGTTGGGATAAAAGTACCTCATGTTTGGACGAAGTCTTAAGTTTTGGTTTCAATGGTCTCCTCCAGATCGGCTACATCCTTCAAGAAAGTTTCGGCACCTCCTACCACACGTGTGCCCCCAGGGAGTGTTTCTCCATCTACCCCTCCCCCATGGGCACCAATGTTGTTGATGACATCACAAAGCGGCGACTCTGGGTATGGGCTGAGTACCCTGTAGAGTACTACGTCCTTCACCCTGTAGACTTTGGCGTCTTGGCCGTCCTGGATGGATCCGATCCCAGCAAATTCAGAGCGGATAAAGTTTGGTACCACGGCACTCTCTACAACAGCTTAGATGATCTCATCCTCGCATACAACAGCAGCGGGTAATGTTTACATTTTGTTTACTAAAATATGAGCAGTGTTAGTCTCACTAAAACAGTAGCGGGTAATGTTTACAGTTTGTAAAAAAGTAAATTATTGATGTTTGTACTATATCACTGATTACTGCACACAGTAATGTATGTGTGATATGTATCGTGTATGTGATGTGTAGTATATGTGTGATGCGTACTTTTTGTGTGATGTGTAGTTTTTGTGTGATGTGAAGTATATGTGTTATGTGTAGTTTATGTGTGATGTGTGATGTGTAGTTTATGTGTGATGTGTAGTTTATGTGTGATGTGTAGCGTATGTGTGATGTGTAGCGTATGTGTGATGTGTAGCGTATATGTGATGTGTAAATTATGTGTGATGTGTACCGTATGTGTGATGTGTAGTTTATGTTTTTAGTAGTTTATGTGTGATGTGTAGTTTATGTGTGATGTGTAGCGTATGTGTGATGTGTAGTTTATGTGTGATGTGCAGTTTATGTGTGATGTGTAGTTTATGTGTAATGTATAGTTTATGTGTGATTTGTAGTTTGTGTGTGATGTGTAGTTTATGTGAGATGTGTAGTTTATGTGTGATGTGTAGCTTGTGATGTGTAGTTTATGTGTGATGTGTAGTTTGTGATGTGTAGCTTATGTGTGATGTGCAGTTTATGTGTGATGTGTAGTTTGTGATGTGTAGTTTGTGATGTGTAGTTTATGTGTGATGTGTAGCTTGTTGTGTACAGACCCGAGCAGAAGTCCCGCATCAAGAAACACGAGTACAGCAAAGACGTCTTCTCAACCCTCAACTTGCGAGGTGACCCACAGCCTGAACACCCACAGAGACCCCCGACCTTAGTGGAGCCAGACGGCAAGAGATACTCGTTGAAAGACAGGCAGGTGAGTGACCTTGGCGGAGGCAGGTGAGTGACCTTGGTGGAGCCAGACGGCAAGAGATACTCGTTGAAAGACAGGCAGGTGAGTGACCTTGGTGGAGGCAGGTGAGTGACCTTGGTGGAGCCAGACGGCAAGAGATACTCGTTGAAAGACAGGCAGGTGAGTGACCTTGGTGGAGGCAGGTGAGTGACCTTGGTGGAGCCAGACGGCAAGAGATACTCGTTGAAAGACAGACAGGTGAGTGACCTTGGTGGAGCTAGGTGAGTGACCTTGGTGGAGGCAGGTGAGTGACCTTGGTGGAGGCAGACGGCAAGAGATACTCGTTGAAAGACAGGCAGGTGAGTGACCTTGGTGGAGCCAGACGGCAAGAGATACTCGTTGAAAGACAGACAGGTGAGTGACCTTGGTGGAGGCAGGTGAGTGACCTTGGTGGAGGCAGATGAGTGACCTTGGTGGAGCCAGGTGAGTGACCTTGGTGGAGCCAGGTGAGTGACCTTGGTGGAGCCAGACGGCAAGAGATACTCGTTGAAAGACAGGCAGGTGAGTGACCTTGGTGGAGCCAGGTGAGTGACCTTGGTGGAGCCAGACGGCAAGAGATACTCGTTGAAAGACAGACAGGTGAGTGACCTTGGTGGAGGCAGGTGAGTGACCTTGGTGGAGGCAGATGAGTGACCTTGTTGGAGCCAGGTGAGTGAGTGACCTTGGTTGAGGCAGACGGCAAGAGATACTCTTTGAAAGACAGACAGGTGAGTGACCTTGGTGGAGATAGACATGTGACCTTGGTGAAGGCAGGCAGGTGGGTGACATTGGTAGAGATAGATATGTGAGTGACCTTGGTGGAGCCATGCAACAATATGATAATCCACAGAAACTTCTGCCATGAGTCAAATTCAATAGCATGTAGCATAAGGAAATACGCCACCTCGAGAATCACGCAAAAAGTTGACTGATTGTCTGTTTCTCCAGGTCAAGTATCTTGGCTGGAGCTTCAACTTCCGGATGTCCGCCTTGACCGGTCCTAGCCTGTATGACGTCAGATACAACAATGATAGGATTGCATACGAGCTTGGCTTGGCTGAGATCGTCGTCTTTTATTCCGCGGATAACCCCATTCAGGTTTTACATTTTTTTCTGTATTTGGCATATGTAACTAATTTTAATTTTCTAAAAAAGGTTTAAAAGTCTGAGCTATTTTAAAAACAAATTACCTTTTTTTAAAAAAAATAGTATTTATGTTGAGTCTATATATCTCTACATTGAGGTAATGTGAGTATATAGGCTCTCAAATAAACATGTCCTACGTCTCTACCAGCGTATCACGGATTTTGTGGACTCTGGAGCCATGATTGGAACCCACTCCAAGTCTCTGGTTCCTGGAGGCGACTGTCCAGAGTCGGCCACCTTCATTAGCCAGGTGAGAGCTGCCATGAGAGAGGTCAGCAGTGGCCGTGAGTGTTAGCTTGTCTTTGTGCTGGTGTGCTGGTCATTGCAGCTTGTGTGTGTAAAGGTGGAGTGTCAGGTCAGGACTAACGTGCATGCCCTAAATTTATTGTCCTCAGACTTTCGCTGGTCAGTCTGTAGATGACCCGGTAGAGATTCCCCGCGCCTTCTGCCTGTTTGAGAACAACAACGGCTACCCGCTCCGACGACATTTGTCGTACGACCAATACGAGGGCGCCTTTTATGGCGGGATGCTGGACTCGGTCTTGACCTTGAGATGTGCTCTAACTATCGTCAACTATGATTACATTGTGGACTTTATTTTACATCAAAATGGCGTCGTTGAAACTCGTGTCATGAGTACAGGTACGCCATTAAAAAAAAAACTATTGAAAGAAAACATTCTCTCATCTTATTCAATTATTCATGGAAACAGACAAAATCTTGTGCTAGATATATTTTAGTGTAAATTACTAATAAAATTACATTTTTAGTTAAAAATATTTTGAGAGAAATGTGACACACTTTTAATGACACCGAGACTTTATGAAACTGGCCTTGTGTAGTTCTGTTGTAACATAATGGTGTGCCATCTTCCCATACAGGTTACATACTACCCTCGTTCTACACAAGCAAAGAGCGTCCTTACGGCTTTCAAATCGAGAAAGATCTCGTTGGCCCCATCCATCACCACATGTTCCATTTCAAGGTCGACCTTGACATCTCAGGGACCTCCAACAGATACGAGACACTGGACATTCAGCCAGAGACGGTGGACATGAGAACGGTAAATCTTTCACGTCATCCTCCTGCTGCTCATCGTGCTAGAAGGAACATCCAAGGGCAACAACCCGGACACAAGATCTGGACCGGGTTATCCTCGACAATCAAATCCGATTAATTACTGTTCTAGTAGAATATGTTTCAATATCTTTTTACAATTGTTTTCGATACCAAGATTTCCCATCCACCAGCACCTCCCCCCCCCCTTGTCCAAACAATTTAAAGTAATCAACATAAATATTTTACCACACATTTTGCCTTCCATTGAGCAGATACCCAACAGAAAATACCACCAGACAAAGTTCGTGAGGACCCTCAAGTCCACAGAGCAAGAGGCGCTCTTCAAATACAACTTTGATTTCCCGAAATACCACGTGGTACACAACGAGCAGGTCAAGACGAACTTTAACGAGATCAAAGCTTACAGGTGAGGCACGCACTGCTTCATGTATGTTTCACGTCTACAGCCTACCTTTCACGCCCATTCACGTCTACAGCCTACCTTTCATCCCCCATCACGTCTACAGCCTACCTTTCATCCCCATCACGTCTACAGCCTACCTTTCATCCCCATCACGTCTACAGCCTACCTTTCATCCCCCATAACGTCTACAGCGTACCTTTCATCCCCCATCACCTCTACAGCGTACCTTTTATCCCCCATCACCTCTACCTTTCATCCCCCATCACCTCTACAGCCAACCTTTCATCCCCCATCACCTCTACATCGTACCTTTCATCCCCCATCACCTCTACAGCGTACCTTTCATCCCCCATCACCTCTACCCTTCATCCCCCATCACGTCTACAGCCTACCTTTCATCCCCATCACGTCTACAGCCTACCTTTCATCCCCCATCACCTCAACAGCGTACCTTTCATCCCCCATCACGTCTACCTTTCATCCCCCATCACGTCTACAGCGTACCTTTCATCCCCCATCACGTCTACCTTTCATCCCCCATCACGTCTACCTTTCATCCCCCATCACGTCTACCTTTCATCCCCCATCACGTCTACCTTTCATCCCCCATCACGTCTACAGCCTACCTTTCATCCCCCATCACGTCTACCTTTCATCCCCCATCACGTCTACCTTTCATCCCCCATCACGTCTACCTTTCATCCCCATCACGTCTACAGCGTACCTTTCATCCCCCATCACGTCTACCTTTCATCCCCCATCACGTCTACCTTTCATCCCCCATCACGTCTACCTTTCATCCCCCATCACGTCTACAGCCTACCTTTCATCCCCATCACGTCTACAGCCTACCTTTCATCCCCCATCACCTCTACAGCGTACCTTTCATCCCCCATCACGTCTACCCTTCATCCCCCATCACGTCTACCTTTCATCCCCCATCACGTCTACAGCCTACCTTTCATCCCCCATCACGTCTACCTTTCATCCCCCATCACGTCTTCAGCCTACCTTTCATCCCCCATCACGTCTACCCTTCATCCGCCATCACGTCTACAGCGTACCTTTCATCCGCCATCACGTCTACAGCCTACCTTTCATCCGCCATCACGTCTACAGCGTACCTTTCATCCCCCATCACGTCTACAGCGTACCTTTCATCCCCCATCACGTCTACAGCGTACCTTTCATCCCCCATCACGTCTTCAGCCTACCTTTCATCCCCCATCACGTCTACCCTTCATCCCCCATCACGTCTACAGCGTACCTTTCATCCCCCATCACGTCTACAGCGTACCTTTCATCCCCCATCACGTCTACAGCCTACCTTTCATCCCCCATCACGTCTACCTTTCATCCCCCATCACGTCTTCAGCCTACCTTTCATCCCCCATCACGTCTACCCTTCATCCGCCATCACGTCTACAGCGTACCTTTCATCCGCCATCACGTCTACAGCCTACCTTTCATCCGCCATCACGTCTACAGCGTACCTTTCATCCCCCATCACGTCTACAGCGTACCTTTCATCCCCCATCACGTCTACAGCGTACCTTTCATCCCCCATCACGTCTTCAGCCTACCTTTCATCCCCCATCACGTCTACCCTTCATCCCCCATCACGTCTACAGCGTACCTTTCATCCCCCATCACGTCTACAGCGTACCTTTCATCCCCCATCACGTCTACAGCGTACCTTTCATCCCCCATCACGTCTTCAGCCTACCTTTCATCCCCCATCACGTCTACCCTTCATCCCCCATCACGTCTACAGCGTACCTTTCATCCCTCATCACGTCTACAGCGTACCTTTCATCCCCCATCACGTCTACCTTTCATCCCCCATCACGTCTACCTTTCATCCCCCATCACGTCTACAGTGTACCTTTCATCCCCCATCACGTCTACAGCGTACCTTTCATCCCCCATCACGTCTACAGCGTACCTTTCATCCCCCATCACGTCTACCTTTCATCCCCCATCACGTCTACAGCGTACCTTTCATCCCCCATCACGTCTACAGTGTACCTTTCATCCCCCATCACGTCTACAGCGTACCTTTCATCCCCCATCACGTCTACAGTGTACCTTTCATCCCCCATCACGTCTACAGCGTACCTTTCATCCCCCATCACGTCTACAGCGTACCTTTCATCCCCCATCACGTCTACAGCGTACCTTTCATCCCCCATCACGTCTACAGCGTACCTTTCATCCCCCATCACGTCTTCAGCCTACCTTTCATCCCCCATCACGTCTACCCTTCATCCCCCATCACGTCTACAGCGTACCTTTCATCCCTCATCACGTCTACAGCGTACCTTTCATCCCCCATCACGTCTACCTTTCATCCCCCATCACGTCTACCTTTCATCCCCCATCACGTCTACAGTGTACCTTTCATCCCCCATCACGTCTACAGCGTACCTTTCATCCCCCATCACGTCTACAGTGTACCTTTCATCCCCCATCACGTCTACCTTTCATCCCCCATCACGTCTACCTTTCATCCCCCATCACGTCTACCTTTCATCCCCCATCACGTCTACAGTGTACCTTTCATCCCCCATCACGTCTACAGCGTACCTTTCATCCCCCATCACGTCTACAGTGTACCTTTCATCCCCCATCACGTCTACAGTGTACCTTTCATCCCCCATCACGTCTACCTTTCATCCCCCATCACGTCTACAGTGTACCTTTCATCCCCTATCATTAACTTATATTGTTCATTGAGTACCAAAGATAATCACAATATATACTTGACATTACTTTCTCTATTGATTTTTTGAAATTTGAACACTCGTTGAAGCACTTTATCATTCTAATTATTAGCCTTGCCAGTAATCTTTTTTTAGCAAGAATGTTACTAAGTTCAGCCAGTGTTACAAAATTCCCCCTCCCCCATACTACTAAATCCAGAATAGCCATGCACGGCATGTCGAAGCAACTTCTACCAGAAGGGGTTGACAACGAAGCCCCCATAGCCTGGGCCAGACACCAGCTGGTAGTGACCAAACACAAGGACGACGAGCAGGTCTCTAGCTCGCCTTACGCAATGTGGGACAGCAAAAACCCCGTCACAGACTTCACCAAATTTTACGCAGACAATGAGAGCATTGTTGACGAGGTTAGTTAGTAACCCTGTGTGTTTACACTTTTATACTTTTCAATACGCTGAGTTTATTTTTCAAAATGGCCGCCGTTTTGTTGACAGGACTTGGTGTTTTGGATCACTTCCGGTATGCACCACATCCCGCACACAGAAGATCTGCCACTGACGCCAACTGTAGGAAACCACCTGACGTTTTTCTTGCTGCCGTACAACTATTTTATAGAGTGTCCGTCTGTGGCTTCACGCGATCACGTTAGTAGTTACAACTTACTTTTAACACAGATAAAATGTCAAGAACTGATTGATAATACTAGACTGTCAGAAAGTTTTTTAAAAAGATATCAAAACATGTGATAAATTTAAATATTAAATGTAGACTTGTATCCATACAGTGCTTGCCCACCCCACGCTACATTTCCAAAAGGTTACACGTGAACCATTCAACTTTTGTATGAGGTTACACATGAATTTATGAACCATTCAACTTTTCCTCGAACAGATTCGCATCACTCACAAGGATAAGAAGAATCCAAAGGCAGGAGTCTCTGTGGACAGGAACGGTAACTCCAAGGACATTTGCACCATCCCTAAATATGCTGAAGCTTACGACAAGCTGCTGGAGAAGGACCCTGATATCATCCTAGAAAGTACAAAATCCAGAGGAATTTTGTAGTCTTCATCAACTGGAGTAGGTTTTTTAACTTAAAGTTAAAGACAGGGCAACCATAGACTGTTGATGTAGGGGTCAGTATGGGGACATAGGGGTCAGACGAGTTGTGATTTGGATGTTTTTATTGTAGGGGTTAGACAAGAACTGTGTAAGGATGCTGAGGACAGATTAGAGGTGTAGGGGGTCAGACAATAGATGTGTGGATGTAGGGGTCAGACAATAGCTGTGTGGATGTAGGGGTCAAACAATAGCTGTGTGGATGTAGGGGGTCAGACAAGAGCTGTGTGTGGATGTAGGGGGTCAAACAATAGCTGTGTGGATGTAGGGGGTCAGACAAGAGCTGTGTGTGGATGTAGGGGGTCAAACAATAGATGTGTGGATGTAGGGGTCAGACAATAGCTGTGTGGATGTAGGGGTCAGACAAGAGCTGTGTGGATGTAGGGGGTCAGACAAAGGGTTTTGTGTGGATGTAGGGGTCAGACAAGAGCTGCGTGTGGATGTAGGGGTCAGACAAAGGGTTTTGTGTGGATGTAGGGGTCAGACAAAGGGTTTTGTATGGAAGTAGGGGTCAGACAAAGGGTTTTGTGTGGATGTAGGGGGTCAGACAAAGGGTTTTGTGTGGATGTAGGGGTCAGACAAAGGGTTTTGTGTGATGTAGGGGTCAGACAAAGGGTTTTGTGTGGATTTAGGGGTCAGACAAAGGGTTTTGTGTGGATTTAGGGGCTAGATCACGGGTTCCCAACCTGGGGGTCGCGACCCCCCTGGGGGTCGCGAAGGTCTTTCTGGGGGGTCGCCAACTGGTATACAAACCTTAGTAATTTGAAACAAAACATAAATATTTAGAAGAATTTTTGAAATTCGGCTTCATTAACATCACTGGAAATGTAATAGAGAAAAACAAAGCGCACTGGACAAAGATGTTCTCAGTCACGAATCTATGAAATCTTTAAAACTAAAACGTCATTTGAGACGAGTCATTCGGAACACACCAAAAAATACATGGCGTTCTTTCGTCGGTAAAAAGCTAGTTGCAAACGCCAGAGACCTGATCGAACAGGAAGTTTTCACCAGCATTAGTGCAAGCATCAAATGAAGTCGCGATAGAACAAGCAAGCAAAAAAAAAAAAAACCAATAGGAGAAAATTTCATCAAACGCTGCATGTACGTAAATGTTAAATAACACATTTTTATTGAAATTAAGCTTTTCAAGTTGATAAATCAACAGACGTGAGTTCGTGTTCGCAGTTGCTGGTCTGTGTCTATATTCATGCGGATGATAGCAAAGAAGAGTTGCTCTTTTGTGAAGATAGCATGGAGAAAATAAATACCTTTTTGGAAACTGGATGATTAAAATGTGTTAGAACGGCTGTGGGGGTTTGTACGGAACGTGTGCCATCTATGTTTAGCTCAAAATCGGGCTTTCAGAAAATAGAAAAGATTTAGCTCACTAACTACTGCCCTAACCAATCGACATCAAGAGTCCATTGCTAGTATAAGTCGTAAATTATATAAAATCTGGAGCCTTCAAAGAACTGAGCAAAAACATTAATATAGATCACGAGGTTCTGCTCTTCTACACTACAGTACGCAGTACACTACAGAAATCAAATTGTTCTTGGGAGTGCAGAGAAAACAAGACCTTTTGGTATACTTAAAACGACATAGAGTGGTTGAAGAGAGTATCATACCTAGCAGATGTGTTCGAACATCAAGATAAGCTAACCTGAAGCTTCAGCGAAATGAACCAATATTATAACTTTCCATGATAATCTCGGGGCATTTTTATCAAAGCTGCACAATCGGTAAAGAAAATAAATCTTGGAAATATTGTAAATTTGAGAAACTCTGCGGTGTGGTAGATGAATCTAATTGTGAGATAATTAAAATTTTGAAAGAAGCGATTTTTAAATTAAAAACTTAACCACGAAGGTTTAGTGAATAGTATGCAATTTTACTCATGCTATTAAAACAGTTATCAAGAGTAGTTCATATTGAAAGTCTACTAGAAAATCTTATTTTATTGCTTATTAATTTCCCTACTAATTTCGGCTTTTTAATTCTATGGGGGTCGCGGGTCACTTACTTTTTATTAAAGGGGGTCGCCATTCGAAAAAGGTTGGGAACCACTGGGCTAGATAAACCTTCAATTCCAACAATTCCTTTCACAGAAGGATATAATAATTATAAATTTCCTCTCCTGCTGTTACCATTCATTTCAAATGTACTTATATTTTGCCATGAAGTCTTGATGTTATAGCATGTGGTGTTTTGATCTGTTATGTGTTACAAAGATGTGTAAAAAATTGCCTTAAGGTGTCAGAAATCTTCTAGCATCAATTAGGCTGACTATAAATGTTGTACAGGTTAAGTCATTATAACTGACATACAGGTGACTTCAGTCAAATTCTAAAACTGACTGTTAAGTCAGCCTACTACACTTATAATAAATATAAACTACTGCCATTGTTGAAATGTTACCCAGATTGCTTTTATTGTACACATTAAAACATTTTCTATACGCTTAAATAAAATTTACATCAATAAAACTGACAATGTTCTTCTATTTGATATGAACAAGAAAACTAATTATCACCATGGTAACAATAAATTACAAATAAATGCACTTTTGAAAGAAATCTCTGACCACACCAACAAACATGGAATTTCCACGTTAACAAAAATGTCACTTCCATACAATAAACATGGAACACCCACATCAACAAATATGGGATATCCATATCAATAAATATATGGGATTGAAATATGGGATTTCCATACAAGTTAACAATCGACCAAACTTTCATCTAAGATTGTAAAATCACAGATTTAAAACTACACTATTTAAGAAAAACTTTAATAATATGTATGTAAAAAGAAGCAAGTTGTTTCTTCTATAAGTTATAAGTAAAAGATGTGCTACATTAGGAAGATATGAAACACCATTGGTAAAGTTTAAAACTGTATGTAAGTTGTACAAGCACAGATTGCTTATGATGAACATCTCATTATAAATACAAATTTGATTTACTGTTCCCCCTTCTTTTTTCTACTGACTAGCTCCGCAAGTTCTTTAAACCTACGTATACAATCTTCCTGCAACAAAAAGAAAAATCAATCACAAACTATTTAACAAGACAGTAAAAAGATCACTTAAAAGAAGGTCATAAAAACTTTAACTTTAAAAAATTAATTTTAAGATCTGAAGTTATTTATACATAAGTAGGTAAGGATTTGATACAGGTAGATTAATTTAATAACATAAAACTCACTTTAGATTTTCCAGGTATATGCTCAGCAACCTTCTCCCACCTTGCTTCTGTCCCTTTAGGAAACTGCTTCAACGCCCACTCAAATATGGTCTGTTGGTTCTGTGTCCAGATTTTGTCAGGCTGGACATCTGCGAGTTTAGTCCCCTCACTGGTGCTGGTGGTACCCTGGGCTATGAGCAGGGTCCTCTCAGGTGTTTTGACCAGCTTGGTTGGTCGCTGTCTTTTCCTGACCTGAGATTCATTATTGCCATCAGGGAAGAGCACAATGTCCTCCCCATCTTCATTCTGTGTGATGATGTAGTCACTGATAGCGTTGTTCAAACTGGGCACTGAGTCTGTGGACACAAGACAGAGTTTCATTACTATCTGGTGAAAGTCTATGAACACAAGACATAGTTTTATTACTCTGGTGAAAGTCTGTGGGTACAAAAGAGTTTTATTACTGTCTGGTGAAAGTCTGTGGGTACAAGACAGGGATTTGTGGCTAAAAACAGAATATTTTAGACTTACTTTGAACAGCTGTACTTAAATGCATTGAGTAGTTTCCCTTGGTTTCTTTAGCTTTTAATGTAACCTAGATAGGAAAAGTAAAAAAATTCATTGCAAAGTAAAAAACAACCATAAAAAACCACTCAAGAAAACAATTTCAGCAAACAGAATGACATGGACACAAGAATGCTGGTTCCAATTATAAAAGTTAATATTTTTACTCCCACCTCCTGAACACTACGGCCAACCATCTCTGCTATCTTTTCCCAGCGCTGATGTGTCCCTCCAGGAAACTTATTCACAGCTTTTGACAGTAAAATCAGATCTTCATCACTCCACTCTCCCTGCAAATAGGTTTTAAAACATTTTGTCTGCTAGAAATATTTAAACAGTTTATCATCAGTATCCTTAACAAACAAAAACCAGTTTAAGGGATAAAATCAGCACATTTTAAATTCAAAGTTCAATAGATATAGTTATCTAACATACAGTTACAGTGATTGTTTTCTTCTTGTAGTATTAAGAAAAACTTTAGATAAAAAAGCAGGTACTGAATAAAAGTTTACAAATATCACTTACATTGTAGCCAATATAGTTTTTTCTAAGTTTATCTAAGTAAGCTCTCTGAGATTAAAGCTCTCCAGTAGAGTTAAGAACTATGATTGTTGTTACCTTTTTTTGCACATCTGTGTCTTTTTTATCATGGTTGGATCCCTGAGTCTCTTTCTTGTTCTCACCTGGTACAGTCACGGAGAGCTTGGCATACATCTCACTTGTGTATTCAGGTAGTTCAAGTGGGCTTCTTTTCTTGGGCTTTCTAACAACCTCTATTCACAAAATATTATATATATATATATATATATATATATATATATATATATATATATATATATATATATATATATATATATATATATATATATATATATATCACAAAGCGTTATTTTTTTTCATAATTAAGAAAAATGTTATAGTTTCAGCATTTTCTGTCAGTAGTTTTTAAATGTTAATATCTAAACATTTCTTAACCTATTAGCATTAGCTACCTGTTGTAGTTTCTTCTTCAATAAAGGCTTTAGCTGCCTCTTCTTCTTCTTTCCTTCTCTTTCTTTCCTCTTTCCAATGTCTGATAGTTTCTGGGAGGTTGATCACTAGTAAGTTTAAAAAAAAACAAGATGTAATCTAACCATAATTCAAATAATTAGTGATACAGCTTTGTCAAAAACAGATCGATCAAACTATGTTGATCAGTTATTAAAGTAATAACCGCCTCAGTCCTGAGTCATCTGATTATGAACTTGCCTAATGAAAACTATGTATGGGACAATTTTACACACAGAAAAATCTGCTTTTTCTGGTCATAACATGTGTGATATGCTCAAATTAACAATGTTGTGAACGCAGCCAAACACCTTAACAGTAGTAGAATGGCAGATGTGATGTTTTTTAGTCAAGCGCTTACTTCATACAACAGGTGTAAATAATTAAGGTAGATATTCAATAATCAAAATATGACAAAATACAATTCATATTTCCTTTTTAGTTATATGGATTCCCAACAAGGTAAATCAACAAGCTTTTCTTAATACGTAAACAAAATCTTATAAAGAAAAATTGAATTATTTATAAATTACCTACAAGTATAAAATAAATAAATTGAAAGCTGAAAAGGCCATAAGTCTAATATTCGAGGGGTGGGCAGTGAATTAAGTTCTTCATCATCTGGTATATCTTCATCAGCAGATGTATGCTTTTTCTTCTTCTTTTCTTTCTTTTTTTTTGAAGTGACAATTTCTTCCTAAATACAACACAATAATTTTAATGAGTAACAATTTTGGTTGTTTTAATGAAGACAATATGTATATGCCAAACAATTTTAACTGTACAATAAATCTACAAACATGTCAGCTAGATAAAGGGTTCAAAGAATTTTTAAAACTTTCATACTGACCATCACTAAGCGTTTTTCAACATAAATGCCCCAGGAAACAAAGTACTGTCCTATTGTAATTATGATGCAAAGTAGGACAACAAGCTCATAAATGCCCATTTTTCTGGCTCTACGGTAGTAGTACACAGGCTGTCGCCAATCTGGCAACCCTTCCACCAAAATTTGGTTGTACCTATCAAACACAATGGTTCAAACTTACTACAATATCTACATATTAAAATGGAAATACTAAAAATTCTATTAGTGAAAAATTGTCAACTTATTCTATTTAATGAATAAACAAAATTTAAAAAAAAAAACCTATCCAACCTTTGCCTTTTCTTTTCATCCTTAAGAACTTCATAAACAGCAACAATCTAAAATTATAAAATAACAAAGTTATGAAAATTATTGCTAAAGTTATTGTTAAAATAATTCTAATAAATTAGTCTGATAAAAATAAAAGTAATACCAGTTATACCTGTCTAAACTTTTCTGATGCATCCTCAGCGCTGTTTTTGTCTGGATGATATTGAAGAGATAAACGTCTGTAAGCTTTTCTAACATCAGAACTTGACGCTGACTGGACACATCAATATATTAGTATTTATCTAGTAAGACTGGTTCATCATTTTTTAATAATAATATTAACTATTTCTGTTTTCTGTGATGTGTCTATAAAAATCTTTTCTATGAACATTAAGACCAAGATCAAAATTATTTATGATTGGTTTTGAAGAGTCAAGTATGCTTAAGCACACATACATAGTTCAACTAAAACTAATGTTGGTAGGTGATATTAAATGTTTTATTGGCTAGCTTTATCTTATATACAGTAATCCTGCCTTTCCAAAAACTGGCCTAACACCAAATTGACATAAGTTATTTAATATGATATTATGAAGGTCTTTTAGTCAAAAAATTAAGTTTATTAGGTTTTTACAAAAAAGCTTCAAGAACTGTAAGATTTATACTTAAAGAAACGAATCACTTGAATTTTTTTTTGCTAGAACTGATCATTGATTCGCTATACATACATTTTAAGGTTAGTCAGGATAAGATTTAGGGTTGCAATAGTAGTGAAAAAACAGCTTTGATACAACTATGCCTGTACTATGCTGAGTTTCATTGCACCCTACCACTCCCCATACACCACTAACAAACCCCACACAACACACAGAGTAGACCAAACCCTGTAAACAAATCTTAACACCCCACAATGGTTTCCAGAAAAATGCGTAATTCGGGAAATATCACCAACGGAAAACTGCGCAAACAGAAAATTGTCCCCAGTGAGCACTGTGGCACTAACAGGCGCCCTTGCAGTAGTTTAACAGGTGGCTCTCAAGAGCACATGACAACGTGTTCGACAAGGCATTTTCTGCCTTACAGTTCAGACAAGATTTTGGAGATTCTTATCCAACGCCTAGCTAGTTTACTAAGTTCAGCTACCCCATAGATCCAGAAATAATATAGTATATAGAATAGATCTAGAAATCTAGATCTAGATCTATCTAGAATTCTAGAGGTGAACTTTATTATAATATTAATTAGGCCTAAATAATTATAGGCCGAACTAATTAATAATTAAAGGCCTAATCACTGAATCAGCGTGTGATTCACAGGTTCAAGTCAACCCAAGCTCAACTTATTATTATATATTATATATTAGATCTAGGTTTATTTTTATAGACTAAAGTCAATAAAATAAATTAATTTTAAAATTTTATGTGGCTCTACCGATCTACGGATCTAGATCTACTCCCATCCCCCCTTTCCCTCGGTCGGTTTCTAGTTGATCGCCAGGACTGACACATTACATTTAGATCTAGATCTAGATCTATAATAAATTACCTGATCTATTTCAAAATATTCATAGAAATTGATATTAATCTCTTCAACAAGATCAAACAACTCAAAATCTTCAGATTCCCATCCATGCGATAATGAAATAGCAAATAAAAATAAATATCCTAAAGAAACGAGAACATTTCTTTCCGTCGAAGCCATCGATCGAGTTTCGTATGAAACTCAAGTAAAACTCGCTTTCTAAAATAGCTAAGATATGTTACACTTTTGAGGTGTAAGATGCTTTTTGAACTGCTCTTAAGGCACTTGCTAATCAACCCAAATCAGTGTCCCATTCAAAAACGATGTGCTCAGAGATTAAATGTTTGTAATTCGCTATGCCAATTATAAATCATACTACTGTTAATAAAAATTGGTGCTGTTATTTCTATAGCAATAAACATATACGAGTCATTTATAATTTCATGATCAGTTATTCTTTGAGACACTTTTCTCCATAATAGAGTCTATAATATATATATATATATATATATATATATATATATATATATATATATATATATATATATATATATATATATATATATATATATATACTATATATTCAACTATCGCCTAACGACCTATTATATAATATTTATTAATATATATTATATTCAAATTTTGCCTAACTCTAACGACCTAAAATACTATATTCAATTGTCGCCTAGCGACCAGGGGCGGAACTACAGTGCCGCCGGTGGCCGGAAAGAACCGCAACGGAAAAAAGCGCAACGGAAAAAAGCGCAAATCAAAAAGCGCAACGGAAATAAGCGCACACGGAAAAAAGCGCAAAGAGAAAAAAGCGCACACAGAAAAAAAGCGCAAAGAGAAAAAAGCGCAAACGGAAAAAAACGCAAAGAGAAAAAACCGCACACAGAAAAAAGCGCAAACAGAAAAAAGCGCAAACGGAAAAAAGCGCAAAGAGAAAAAAGCGCACACGGAAAAAAGCGCAAAGAGAAAAAAGCGCAAACAGAAAAAAGCGCAAAGAGAAAAAAGCGCACACAGAAAAAAGCGCAAACAGAAAAAAGCGCAAACGGAAAAAAGCGCAAAGAGAAAAAAGCGCAAACGGAAAAAAAGCGCAAACAGAAAAAAGCGCAAACGGAAAAAAGCGCAAACGGAAAAAAGCGCAAACGGAAAAAAGCGCAAACGGAAAAAAGCGCAAACAGAAAAAAGCGCAAACGGAAAAAAGCGCAAACAGAAAAAAGCGCACACAGAAAAAAGCGCAAACAGAAAAAAGCGCAAACGGAAAAAAGCGCAAACAGAAAAAAGCGCACACAGAAAAAAGCGCAAACGGAAAAAAGCGCAAACAGAAACAGAAAAATGCGCAACCAGAAAAAACACAAAGAAAAATGTGCAAAAGAGAAATTTAGCACAAAGACCATATGGACTAGATGACACATTTATACATGACTTTTAGGGCTGCTGTGAGAGTGTCGTGTTTGATCACGTGATCTACTACCATTTAAAGCGTACCACTACCATCTGCATTCCCATCACCACGATACAGGCGATAATCACTTTACACAATGCCTATTATTTTCTTGGTCAATAATTATTCAACTACTATTCTCGTATAAACATAAAACTATCGACATTACACGAAGTATCTTTCACATTTTCCCTAGTCCGAACTACCTAGCTTGCATACTATAACAACCCGTTCCTATGGCAAAACTTCACTCTCTTTCATCCGCGTCATCAAACATGCATTCGTCATATCTCTCGTAACAACATTCATTCGCACCAAAATAACAATTTTGTATTTAATATTTTTTCACATCATGACGCACCTACCTACCTACCTACTACCCACCTACCCACCTACCTACCTAACTACCCACCTACCCACTTACCCACCTTATATATATATATATATACCGAGGGGTCTATGGGGGGGGGGGGTTATGACCCCCATAAACCCCCCCTGCCTACGCCACTGCATATAAGTATTCGCATAGATTTAGAGTAGCGTCCCTTTTGTTTACATGTTTTCATTACCCTTCAAACAAAAGTCTATTTTAGTTATATTGAGATTAAAGAATGTAAATAAATAGTATACACAATTCTGTAGAATAGGAACGATTGGGAGGGAAGTGACATTTAGCGCAGTAAATTTAGAGGTTAGGTAGGGTATAATAAATGGTGGGGTTAGGAAAGTTAAGGGGTCCATTCTCTAATAGGCAATCTATGTCTCTTTCGTACTTTCGTGTTGGTTTATTGTCGAACCTGTCCTCACCTCACATCACAACAGTTGGGTGACGCTTACCGTGTAATGTTAAAATAAATAGCATGTAATTGAGTTAGTTCGAAGTGAGTTTTCATACAAGCCCAACGCACTAATTAAGGTTGTCGCAAAATGTAACATATATGTAACATATGTCAATGATGTCAATGAATTTTCATTAAAAAAAAAAGATGTCTAGTACAGTTTACGAAACTTACGAACTTCGCCGATACTTTTTTGGTGGGTAGTTTGGTAAGTATGTAGGCGGGTGGGTGGGTAGGTGGGTAAGTGGGTAAGTGGGTAGGTGGGTAGTTAGGTAGGTAGGTAGGTAGGTGGGTAGGTGGGTAGTAGGTAGGTAGGTAGGTGCGTCATGATGTGAAAAAATATTAAATACAAAATTGTTATTTTGGTGCGAATGAATGTTGTTACGAGAGATATGACGAATGCATGTTTGATGACGCGGATGAAAGAGAGTGAAGTTTTGCCATAGGAACGGGTTGTTATAGTATGCAAGCTAGGTAGTTCGGACTAGGGAAAATGTGAAAGATACTTCGTGTAATGTCGATAGTTTTATGTTTATGCGAGAATAGTAGTTGAATAATTATTGACCAAGAAAATAATAGGCATTGTGTAAAGTGATTATCGCCTGTATCGTGGTGATGGGAATGCAGATGGTAGTGGTACGCTTTAAATGGTAGTAGATCACGTGATCAAACACGACACTCTCACAGCAGCCCTAAAAGTCATGTATAAATGTGTCATCTAGTCCATATGGTCTTTGTGCTAAATTTCTCTTTTGCACATTTTTCTTTGTGTTTTTTCTGGTTGCGCATTTTTCTGTTTCTGTTTGCGCTTTTTTCCGTTTGCGCTTTTTTCTGTGTGCGCTTTTTTCTGTTTGCGCTTTTTTCCGTTTGCGCTTTTTTCTGTTTGCGCTTTTTTCTGTGTGCGCTTTTTTCTGTTTGCGCTTTTTTTCGTTTGCGCTTTTTTCTGTTTGCGCATTTTTCCGTTTGCGCTTTTTCCCGTTTGAGCTTTTTTCCGTGTGCGCTTTTTTCTGTTTGCGCTTTTTTCCGTTTGCGCTTTTTTCTCTTTGCGCTTTTTTCCGTTTGCGCTTTTTTCTGTTTGCGCTTTTTTCTGTGTGCGCTTTTTTCTCTTTGCGCTTTTTTCTGTTTGCGCTTTTTTCTCTTTGCGCTTTTTTCCGTGTGCGCTTTTTTCTCTTTGCGCTTTTTTCCGTTTGCGCTTTTTTCTGTTTGCGCTTTTTTCTGTGTGCGATTTTTTCTCTTTGCGTTTTTTTCCGTTTGCGCTTTTTTCTCTTTGCGCTTTTTTCTGTGTGCGCTTTTTTCTCTTTGCGCTTTTTTCCGTGTGCGCTTATTTCCGATGCGCTTTTTGATTTGCGCTTTTTTCCGTTGCGCTTTTTTCCGTTGCGGTTCTTTCTGGGAACCAGTGCCGCCAGACCCCGCAATGCGGGGGGGCCCACGCCATTTAGGGGCCCATAGCCGACCATAATAAAAATTTTATAGTTAAAAAAAAACACTGTTTTCTTGCATTTTTGAATTGACAGTAAAAGCTTTTGTGAAAAACAAACAGATCTACTTTTGTCGTGATGTTATACTGTAGATAACATATTATTATGCTGTTGCGTAAAAAAAAATATATGCCTGAGCAAACGTTCAAAACACTTCCATGACTTATTTCCCTTTTTTAAATAGTTAAATAGGTGTGCTCATAAGCTTCTTTTAATATTTTTGTTCTAAATAAATTAAAAAGCAATTACTTCTCTTAATTATTATATGTTCTAAAAATATACACTAAAGAATAACATAGAATTAAAAGGAAATATATTTAAAACAAATAATATAAATACAAAAAAACTTTGAAATAAACATAACACGAGAAACCATTACGCATACAAAGCTTTCACGTTTTATATTCTTATGACCGTCAAAATACTAGATGGTAAGCAGTTTACAGCAAGTATGAAATAAACCAGTTCTAAATCTAAAAACAAAAGTTAAAACAGACGAGTGCACTCACAAACTTGACAAGTTGTAACTTGTTTAAATTGAAAACAAAACACATTTTTTTTAAAAAACACGATTAGGCCTGAAATGAGTATCCAATGTTTGTATTCTGTGTTGGTATATGTGTATATATATATATATATATATATATATATATATATATATATATATATATATATATATATATTTATTTATTTATATAGCGGGGCCCAGAAATTTGTTTTGCGGGGTGGCCCTTTTTTTCTAGTTCCGCCACTGCTAGCGACCTAGATTTATATTCAAAGGTCGCCTAACGACACATATATATTACACTAAGCTATCTGAATCTACTACCAGATCCCCACGAACAAAGACAACAATGATCAAGTTTTTCCAGGTCAACTACCTTTAATGTCCACGCGGCTGGTTTCTATTATACTTATACCTTGTCTGGATGTCCAGTTCCGTCTAAAATAGTGGTATAGGATTTTAGAAAAACTTCAACACGCTTAGCGTATACAATATTGTAATCATGATAGTTTTTGTCGTGCATACAATCATTGATAATTGAGTGCGAGCAAGCATGTATGTGTGCTCGCGTGTCTGTGTGTGTGCATGCTTGTGTGTACTAAACTTTTTATTCGTTTCACAAAGCTATTTACGTATATGAAAAAAATACGAAGACTGTCGATAATAATTTGTTTTTGAATTTTTACCTATCAACTAATTGGTAGCATATTAATGTGGTTCAGAGAATAATAGAACATACGTTTATCTCAACAACAACAAAATATAGCACACAAGCGCGATCATCACATTGTAACACTAAAGCAGGGGTCTCCAAACTACGGCCCGCGGGCCGGATGCGGCCCGCGAAGTCCTCTCATCCGGCCCGCGGAGATCTTTTTGTCCAAGGAAAAATCGTCTGTTGGTTATGGCTGAGGAACT